GAAATAGTTTAAGCCCTAGGTCTTTCCATTTGTTGGAAAAATATCAAGAGGCAAAAACACAAATTGGAGGAGATACTCAGCCGAAAATCGTTCCAGCGGTTGCAAAGCGCCTATTATATGTATATATATATATATATATGTTCAATACTTTATGAATATATTTAAAAGAGTGTGTCAAGTTTTGAGACTGAATGGTTTAACTATTTTTGGGAAATTGAGGTTGCGGACTAAAAGTACCGTTTTGACATGGTAAATTTTTTTTCTTTTTTTTTTTTTTTTTTTTAATACAGACATATCTCTGAAAATTATTATCAGATTGGCTTAAAATTTTTGAAAAATATATTGAAATAAATGCAAATTACGAAGATCGAGAAAGGATTTTTACTATATATTTTTTGAAAATGCCAACCGCATTTAGCTTCTCAATTTTTTGACATTTGAATAAATTTATTTTAAAAATCTGTACTGCTGTACAGAACTTATTCTAATGCCAGATTCTGTTGTCGATTTCAGTTTCACTACGCTAAATATAGAATTCATATTTTTTAATTGCGACCAAACACCGTAAAAGCATTAAATATAGTAAAAATGTGTATTACGGTATTAAAAATTACAGAAATATAAATAATAAACATGAATGAAACTGATAGAAAATGCTATCGCAGATATAAATTTATTATAAAATTAAGAACATTTTTACCTTTATTTATTTTATTATAAGTTAATATTAATATAAATTTGCATAATTTTTAAATTATTTGTAATTTAAAGCTTTGAATTTTAAAGCATAAAACTTCACAAACGAAATCTTTGTTTCATTTCCTACAGGCACGTCATATTGGGCTCGTGTGTTAAGCTTAAATGTCGAACGCTTGTACTTTAAGCGAAAGCGTGCCAAGCAAATATTTAGTAGATGGTAAGCACTTTCCCACTTTCTCCCGTCGCTCTCTCTCTCTCTCTCTCTCTCTCTTCCGCACTACCTGCACTTTGTTAACTGTATGTAGTATATTTTGTTTTTGTTTTTATTTCATTTTGCTCATTTTACTTCGAGCTACTCTTTGTTGTTATAGGCGTCACCTTTGACACCTTTTTGAATGCAGAATATTGAGTTTTACAAGCGGATTCACCCATTTACATGCGAATACGTGCTTACTTACATACTAACATTTACATATATGTATATATATGAGTGTATGTACTTATGTATGTATGTACTAGCAAGCATTTACTAATTTCCTCATGTAATTAGTGCGTGCAATGAAGCGGATGCACGTGAACTATAAAAGTCTGGAGATTTTGCCAATACATACATACATACATATATATATTATATGGACTTTAAAAATCTTCTTAGTGAAAAAGAAATATGTTTATAAGATATTTAACTTTTAAGTGTTAAATAGACCAACAATTTTTTTATATTGGAATCGAACCGAATCTCCTTCAGCCCAATTATACCGGAATCAAATTTAGAACTCCATTCGATTCTTCACTCTCCGTTTGACGCCAATGAGAGACATCAAGTGAAGGCAGGGACTACTCTATCTGCTCTTTCCAAGAGTGTAGAGGTCTACCTCATCCTCATACTTCTCTATCTGCTCTTTCTAAAGGTTTGGTAATCTCCCTCATTCTCTGCTTGCACCCAAATGGAGGAGATAACCTTGCCGCCATTGCCACTGTTTCTTAATTCGCTGTACTATGTCAATATCGCCGTATATCTCTCAGAGCTCATCGTTCGATCGTTTGCGGTATGCGCCTTTCTCGATACGTAAAGATCTGTAAGTCAATCGCAGAACCTTACACTCGGCGACTTATAGCGTCAACTCATCTGAGGCGTAAGCGTCCTTGTTTCTGCACTATATAGCAAGCGACTTGTACAGCTTGGTCGAGAGAGGACTTTACATTTTCCTTGCCTACTCATTCCATAGGGATTTAGCCTTGCATCCCAAGGGTGGTAGTTTTAATACTGGCCCCTAGGTAGACAAAAGAATCTACGAATTCAAATTATAGAATTTTCTTACCTTTACTTTCAAAGCATTTTTCTAATATGATTTAAGATCGAATAAACGAAGAAATAACATCTGCTTAAAATACCCGACTTATTGATTGTAGTTAATACTAAAGATACTTTAGCCAAAGTAAGAAGAGGCGGTCGTATTGAATATTCGTTATCAAGAACAAGGAAACAGAACTTTCTAGAGATGCGTGCCAGAAATTGTTAGGTACATAAGAGCGGCAGCTAACGCAGCATATATGACTCGGTGGTGACAACTTTGGTGTAACATGTAGTAGAGTAAAAAGTACATTTACAGGAGCATAAACTGTATGTTTATGAAAGTCTTAAGCTGCAACTACCCATCTTACATACTTTCCATCCATAGCAACCTATCTTATGAGAGCGCCATGCAGTTGAAAAGGTCTCACAGCAAGAAAAGGAGCTGTCTATACGCCGCTATGCCTGAATTTGGTATCCCCGCGAAACTTATACGGCTCTGTAAACTGGCGCTAGACAACAACAGAAGCGCAGTCAGAATTGGGAAGACCTCTCCGAGCCGTTCGGTACCAACTGAGGTTTCAGACAGGGTGACTCTTTGTCGTGTGATCACTTCAATCTGATGCTGGAGAGAACTGCAGAGCTTAATAGAGAAGGTACAATCTTCTAAAAGAGTGTGCAACTACTGCCGTATGCCGATGATATTGACATTATCGGTAGGAAGCAAAACGAATGGGTCTGGTAATGAACGCGGACGGCTCTCAAGTCACTGTTGGTAGCCATAACTTTGAAGTCGTAGATAATTTCGTCCATCTAGGAACCAGCATCAACACCAACAATAATGTCAGCCTGGAAATCCAAAGCAGAATCATGAAAACCAAACTCTACAATTCGTTCTTCATACCCGTCCTACTATACGGCGAAAAGGAATGGACGATGTCAACAGCTGATGAGTCGGCTTTGAGAGTCTTCGAGAGAAAAGTTTTTCGAACGATTAATTGTCTTTTGCGCATGGCAACGGTCAATACCACAGACGATGGAACGATGAGCTGTACGAGCTATATGACGATATTGACATAGTTCAGCGAATGAAGAGACAGCGGCTAAGCTTGCTCGGTCTTATCGTCCGAATGGATGAAAGTATTGCAGCTTTGAAAGTATTCGATATAGTACCTGCCGGTGGAAGCAGAGGAAGGGGAAGGCCTACACTCCGTTGGAAGTATCAGGTAGAGAGTGACCTGGCCTCACTTGGTATTTACAACTGGCGCAAGAAGGGAGCCAGCGCCAATAAAGAGGAAGAAGAGGAAGTTATATTATTATATTATTACCATAAAAGCATCGTGTGTATGCTTTATCGTGTGTAAAAAGGCTCCTTCCCCTGCTAGTTCGTCCGCCATGCAGTTGCTTGAGATGTCTCTGTGTCCAGGTACCCAGACAACAGCAGTGCAATATTTAGTAGAGAGTTTGTTGAGAAAGTTCCTTCATTCTATCTCCACTTTTGACATGGTGTCATTATATTGGAGAGATCCAATCAAATATTGACTGTCGGCCGCCTGGAAAACGCTACAGTGGTCTGGTAGTCTCATGCTCATATTCAATGAAAGCATGGAAGAATAAATTCCGCAACCCGCTCTTCCATTAAGCTTCGAGCAATCTGTGATGATAGCTATGGCTGCCTGATCGGGGCCGTTGGTAATTTCCCACTCGCAGCTGTTTGGGATTCTCGTGGAGAAACGATTTTCGAAGCACATGCAGGAGGTGGTGTAGTCTAGCTTCTTTGGCACTACTGCTAAAAATAATATTTTGGTGTGTCCTATACTGCATCCAAGGTAGAGCAGTACACAGTCTGATTGCATTGCAGCCCGTTTGTAGTTTCCCGCATAGGTCTAGAGGAAGGATGTTCAGAATAATGTATCTTTCGAGGGAGTTGATGGATGTGCCCCTATGCTCTTGAAAGTAATTTTATCGAGTGTCGGCCACCAAACGTTGACGCCGTAGAATAGGATTGGTCTAACTACCGATTTATAAATCCAGTGCACGATACCCGGTCTTAGACCCCATCTTTTTCCTATCGCCGTTTAGCAGGCGTAAAGTGCCGTTATAGATTTCCTTAACCCTTCAGTGTGTGTGTTTAGCTATTGCTATCCAAGAATCTGCCGAGATACTTTACCCCGGTAGAGAGGGTGAGCTCCATACCCTTTAGTTTAGGTCGCTTAAAAGTAGTCGGTTTGTGCCTTCTGGTAAAAAGAGCCATTTCGGTTTTATCTGGATTGACGTCCAGTTCGCTGTCCTTGCACCAGTTTCTAACAATGTAAACTGCATTTTGAGGGAGATCACTTAATGTTGGTGTATGTTTACCCGTCGCTGCTATGGCAAAGTCATCAGCATATGCCACCACAACACATCCTGAGTTGTATAGTGATACTCGAACTAAACTGGTAGCCATACATGAGGCTATTAATTATCTATTTTTTTATTATCTCTTTGAATTGTATTTATATTTTCTCGGATAACCAGGTAGCACTAAGAGCAAGAGAGCACAATTAGAGGCTTATGATATACTTAGTGGTACCATAATGGACCCATTTGGTGGCCCAGCAACCACTTCAAACTAACCTAACTAACCTTCACATTCAGATTGCTAAGTTCATAATATTTTTTTTTTATCGAAGTCGAGCCGAACTGGTCCAATACTGCCGAATCCAAAACTCGTCGTTTTTAATTTTTTATTTTTTTTAATAGACGCCGAAAGAACGAGCTTTTCTCATGCGCATACTTATGTACAAATAAATTTATATTTGCAATTATACATATTTATGTACTAGTAAGTAAATTCCTGTGGAACATTTTTATTCAAATTATCACTCGGCTCTTCTTAGAACTAGTTTTCTTACTGAATAAATTATCGGGAGTCACCTTTAAAATTGCATTTCGAAACTCTTCTTCAATGCATTTCTAATTCTAATTTCCAATTTTCGCGTTTGCTAATTAATATTACCACTGCAGCGAATGCAGTTCAAAGTGAAATTGCATTAGTTTTTAATTTAGTCTCTTCTGAAACGCCCAGAGGAGCACGCACAAACCGTTTCGAACGCCAAACATGTCGAATATCATCGATGGTATTTACGGTTTCCTAACCGCACCAGGCGATTTGTACGGTGGGTAACGATACTAAGAAATGTTTAGAAGAAAATTATATTTTCCTTTCTCTTTTTTCCCACACAGGTAATCGCTTTCTACCCTTCCGTGGCGCTTTACTGCCCTACCTTCTGACCAACATAGCCTACGTGCTGTTTGTTTTCAAGATCGGACCATGGTTTATGAAAAATCGGCTGCCTTATGATTTAAAGCCAGTGCTGCGTTACTATAATATCGGACAAATCGTCTACAATGCCATTGTCTCAGCCATGGTAAGTATGTATTTATGTATTTGATTACATCGTTTTTACATTTAATTCCATACTTTTTAGTCCTTCTACTTGTATGTGATCAAACGTCCCATGTCCATTACTTGCATGACCATACTGCCCATCGATCATCCGCTAAAAAATATTGAAGGTCTTACCAGCGCCCTCTATGTAATCAATAAATTTATCGATTACTTTGACACCGTTTTCTTTGTGCTGCGCAAGAGTTACAAACAGATAACGTTCCTACACGTTTATCATCACATCATGATGACATCGCTGAGTTTGCTGTATGTGAAGTATTCGGGTGGCGGTGGTCATGCGTCTATGATTGGTATTTTGAACACGCTCGTGCATGTCTTCATGTACGCTTATTATCTGATGAGTGCGACTCGACCGGAAATGAAGAACTCACTGTGGTGGAAGAAGTATGTGACCAGTCTGCAGCTCGTACAGTTCGTACTGATTTTGGTGCATCAAATGTGGCCTTTGGTGATTCAACGGGATTGCGAGTATCCGAAGTTGCTTTGTTTGTGCTCGTGTGTTCAAGCTCTGCTGATGCTTTACCTCTTCGGTAGTTTCTACATTAAAACATATATACGAAATCCGAAAAAGAAATCTACGCCGCCAGTTGTGGCACAGGAAGCGAAAACACGATAAATTTGTGGCACAAATAAAATCGATTTTTTATTTAATAATTAAAATTTTGTTGCTGTTATGAAGTATATAAAGGCAAATTATAGATTTAAAGTGAATTATTGTAAATTGCTTGAATATTTTTGGAATAACAAAATTCCTGGGGTGGGTTTCCCTATCGTTAGGGGTTTTGCCACAAAAGGTGTTATTTTGAATAGCCTGCGATTCCGGTAGACTTCTCTTTTAAAGCTGTATTTTTCGACATTTGACCAGTAAAAACTACAACAATAATAACGAGGGAACGATACACGCTTACAATACAGAAATTGATGGAACAAATTGAACTGTTGGCACAAGTTAGGGGTGTGAAGAATAAAACACGCGCACATCGCAAAAGAACAACTGAGAACATTGCTGCTGTAGCCCAAAGTGTGGAAGAAAACTCAGATTTGCCCACTTCTTGTCGTTGAGGCGTCATTTCACCACAGTTTGCATAAAGACTTGGTCCTTAAGGCTTTCAAAGTTCAGTTAACACAAGAACTCAAGCCGGCCGATCATCAACAACGTCGTGTCTTTGCTGATTGTGTTCTTGAAGTGCATGAAAATAATCCGAAATTTCATCGAAAAATCATCTGGACTGATGAGGCCTATTTCCATCTCAATGGCAACGCCAATAAGCAAAACTGCTGCAACTGGGGCTCTGAAATCCAAAATTAATTGTTGAAAAGCGTATCCATCGTCATTGGTCCCGGCGAGGTCATTGGTCCTTATATTTTCGAAAATTAGGCTGAAGCAAGTGTTACGGGAGATGATTAACGAGTTTTCATGGCCGGAATGGGATGGTATTGATTTGGACAGGTTAACTTTCAATAAGACGGCGACGTGCCACACAAGCAACGAAACTATCGGTCTTTCAAGAGGAAAAACTTTTGGTCTTTCTGTTCTTTTCCGCCTCGTTTAGATACATATATGCGGAGTTTCAAAAATATTAAGACATCAACAAGTACTAAATTTTCAATAATATTTTTGTATTATTTTTTCCAATGTAATTTAAAATTATATTGACTTTAATTTTATATATGTATTAAATTATATATATTATATATACATTATATTGGGTTGCCCAAAAAGTAATTGGGGTTTTTTCATATAATCGGCGTTGACAAATTTTGGATTGTTTACAAAAACGTTAGTCGAAAACGAGTCTGTTTGGTGGGATTGGAAGGGTGTCGTATATTTTGAGCTGCTTCCAAGGAACCAAACAATTAATTCGGATGTTTACTGTCAACAATTGGACAAATTGAATACAGCCATCAAGGAGAAGCGACCAGAATTGGTCAATCGCAAAGGTGTCATATTCCACCAGGACAACGCTAGACCGCACACATCTTTGGTCACTCACCAAAAACTGAGAGAGCTCGCCTGGGAGCTGTTGATGCATCCACCATATAGCCCTGACCTTGCACCATCAGACTACCATTTATTTTGATCTTTGCAGAACTCCTTAAATGATAAAACCTTCGGCAATGATGAGGCTATAAAATCGCACTTAGTTCAGTTTTTTGCAGATAAAGGCCAGAAGTTCTATGAGCGTGGAATACTAAATTTGCCAGGAAGATGGCAAAAGGTTATCGAACAAAATGGCAATTATATATTTGATTAAAGTTTATTCTAAGTTTTATTAAAAATGCATTTACTTTCTTTTAAAAAATCCGCAATTACTTTTTGGGCAACCCAATATTATATATATTTGGGATGGAGAGGATGGACCTTCTTTTTGCTCTATTTAAGTTGTATGGTGCTTTTTTTACAGTTAACTCTTTTTCTTTAAGAATTAAAAATGCCTACAGAAAGTGCTAAAGAATTTGATTGATTTGAAAAAAAATAAATAAACTTTTTCCGCAACGAAGCAAAACGAACAGCTGATTTGAATAACACCAAGTAACGTAAAAAATGAATAAGCTTCGATAAAACAATAATCTGTTGAGAACAACAACAACTAACGAATTAACGAAGTCGGTATGAATACGCCCATCACATATTCATATTGCTTGTAAAAGTAAAGACCGCACACAGACAAACGACTTCTTACGGAGCAAAAAATCTACTAGCCAATATTTTCAAATTATTCGAAAGAATTCTGATATCTATCGTTGGTTGGAAGTTCTAGTCCATAAACCGAAGAGTAAACATATATAAAATTCTTGATATTTAACTGGTCAAGTCTGATGTTAAAAGGAGCAGAAAGAAATATTTGACAAAACTGAGAAATTCCCGACTGCAGCGAAGAGGGTTCAGCACTTATTGACATGGTTTTTTTTCTTGACCATAACCCGTCCGCCATCTCGAATCAGAGTCATGTGGTGAATTTACTGTGTTTATATTGTGCTAATTCGTCTGCTTGGGCTCCAAACCACGTTCGCTTAACATCTCGTGGAAAATCTGTTTTTGAAGTATCCGTGCATTTTACTATCCTTTTAACTTAAGGTTAATTAAATATAGGAATTTAAGGCCAACTTTTATGCTATAATTTCTTTCTTAAAAGCTCTTGCTAAAGCAGTAGGTACTGAAGTTGATGAAGAGTTTAGAAATTTTCAGCCATAGAGTTCGCCTTGGATAGAGAACTCCTCCTTTGGCATATCTGGTTACGCAAACAATTACTTTTTGAGGAAAGGTAAACTTTAAATTTAATCTCGCTTCAAATCCGTTTCTTGAAGGTCATGGTGATGTCAGAGAAGACGTTTTGGATACAAAATCATAAGAACTCTGGCAAATATGAGTCCCTCTACTAACGAAAAAAGCACCTACCACACGGTGGAGGAGTAAATTTACAAAATGATTGGTTGGTTTAAGACCTGATCGGAAGCGGTCGCACCCAATCTTGGATCCACCCCCGCAAAATCTAACAATAATTATAAGAATATTTCACTTGATTTGATGAACTGATTTAATTTCTTCCAACCATGTGTAACCATCTCTGGATCTGGGGACACCGCGAAAGATGTGACGAAAGATGTGCTCTTCACTCAGCCGATTCCACTTTACCTTGCTTGTGGAGATAATATTTCACGGGTGAAGCTGCGTCAATCCACCCACAAAAATACTAAGTTCTCGTTTGCTTAAAGTTATTAACGGTTTAGTCTGTCTAAAATCCACACTGCTCCATAATAATTAGGTGGTACGTCCTACGGTTTGAGTGTCACTATTTTAGACAAAATTCGAATGCACTGAAAGGTCTGAGGCAGTCGACGGTTACAACATCGCACGCGGCACCAGTGCTAGCTGTTTGACCCAAGATAGTCTGTTTATTGCCTCTTTGCATGTGCTTACGCATTTGAACTTTGTGTTGACACAGTTAAGTGCCGCTTGTCTACCAAAAACCTGATAGAACTTCCTGTTAAGGCGGTTGGCTATTTGTCAGCAGGTCTCATACCCACAAGGTCTACTTGAATGACAGAGTTTTAGTCATTGAGTTTGAAACTATCTTGATTGTTGGGCAGGTCGCAGAAGAACCCTGCTCCTGTGCCTGCCTTGTATCAAGACCTATCAGTATATCCTAACTCTCGACCATTTTACTTGGCAGAAGGTTTCCATTTCTCGGTCCCATTTTACGTTTAGCCCGGGTTCTGATATAATTTTCTGAATGCTGCCATCTCCTTCATAATTGTGGAACTGAACCCAATTTTCTAGAACATTTAGCCAGCTAGCGATGTTAGTTAGTGCACTTCATACATAGCTTGTATATTAGTTGGCTTAATATCAAGGATGACTTCTAAAGCCTTGGTTGAAGTGGGAATATCAAGTAGACAAGTACTGCTTCATTAGTGTCGCCCACCATAGTATGCTCCATATGTTAGTAGGGGTCTAACGACACCAAAGCATTATGTAAGCCCTTCTGCAGGTATTTCAGATCCGGAGGGCTTTGCTGACATCAACATATTTCATCAAGCTAAGTTTTTTTATCAAGAATTACACCGAAATACTTTATAGACTTGAGGAAAATATATATATTGATACATCCTGGAGATGGTGGGTTGAAGTAGTGAACTTTCATCTTTCTAAAAAATAGGCAAATATCAGATTCCGGGTTCATTTGAAGTCCTTGTCTCCCATCCCAAACAGCTGCTATTTCAAGTGCCCTCTCTATTAACCGTGATAGTCGTGAAGGTCGTCCGCGAAACATGCTACTTTTAAATTGCAATATACTCATTCATTAATTATGAATTATCTATAGAATTGGCACTTTATAACCGCTGAAGCGATTTGCGGCCGAGCTCCGCCTCCAATTTGTGGTTTCGCGTTTTGATGTTTTTCCAACAAATGGAGGAACCCAAGGTTTATACTAAGCCGCTTCCGAACTTCTGCTGGTTTTTTATGAGGAGCTTTATATCATATCAGAAATATACTTGGAGGGGTGGACACACCCTGCCGAGAAGTGACCGCATTTAGAAAATTGAACTTAATTTTTTATATAAATAAATTTTTTATTATTTTGGATGTTGGTTGCACCGAGATTTGAATCCGAGCCTTCCGAATGGCAGTACGCAATGCTAACCACACGGCTACCGCGTCCGTCCATGAATTATCTACATATCATTTTAATGAATTATCATATTACAGGGTTTCCCAAAAAGTGGTGCTTTTTTGATATCCAAAGAAAACTGACATTTTTCGAGCTAATGATCGGATGTTTATTTCCATGTACCATAAAGAGGAGGATGTGTCATTAATAAGAAAATCTAATATCAGCCAAATGGCCGCCACGGCTCCGTTTACAGGACCGTAACCTTTTAATGAAATTATCCAACACCAAATCCCAAGCTGGCAGCAGTAGGCTCTCAATAGCTGCACGAATTCCATCTTTGAGGTCTTGAATCGACTCTGGTCTATTGGCGTAGACCTTATCTTTCACATAGCCCCAAAAGAAGAAATCGCAAGGTGTTAAATCAAAAGGACTTGTTGGTTAATTGCGATCACATCTTCAAGCAATAATACGTTCCGGAAACTTTTCCCCTAATATATCGATGGTTTCGTTGCTTGTGGGACACGTAGCACAAACCATTCACCATACTGTTGCTCCAGCATCATTTTCGAAAAGTTAAGGTCCAATGACAACAGTTACACTTTAAGGATGAAGAGGTTTCTCAACAATAAATCAAACGCGACAGTTTTGCTTATTGACGTAGACATCGAGGTGGAAATGACCCCATCAGTCAAGATGATTTTTCGAAGAAATTCCGGATCATTTTCATGCGTTTCAAATATCCGATCAGCAGTGGAATGACGGAGAATGGACAAAACTGGGTTTTCTTCCACACTTTGGGCTACATCCGCAAAATTCTCAGTTGTTCTAGATGTGCGCGTGTTTTATTCTTTACCTCACTAACTTGTCCCAACAACATCATTTTTTCTATTAGTTTCTGTATTGCCGTCCGAAAAGTTGCTTCACGGCAGCCGAAAAATGTTTCAGTTTTACGAAACGGCTCTACCAGGTTTTCGACATTTTTAAAGTGAATTTTAATGGTTTCAATGCGTTTCAATTTTAATATTAGCGTAGTTTTTACTTTACTTTACTTACAGCTTCAAGCGTGACATCTACCGGAATCGCAGGCTGTTTGAGGGGCACACCTAGTGTGAAATTTCGAAAAAAAAATCGATCATTAGATTACACCTTTAAAAATAACATATTAAAATTTCAAATCGATATCTCAAATAGTTTTTGAGTTATAGCAATTTAAAGAGCAACCGCTCGTCAGCTAGAGAGTCTCATTAGCTACGAGTGAAAACGCGTTTTTCTCGAAACAGCATTTTCCGAATTTGCTGCAGTGATTACGCAAGAACAGATGATCCGATCACTATCGATTTTTTTTACATATTCTATATATAGTTCTCTGTACAATGACTTATCGATTTTTGATCTGATTAAAAAATCGAATTTTGGAGGGACAAAAACGACCAAAATTTTGGGTAAAATTCGACTATTTTTTTTTAAACGCCTTCATATTGTCAATTTTTGATTTCTTTTATCGTAGGTCTTCGTACAGACAATATTATCTTAAAGATATTTTTTTTTTAAATTTCATCCACGGAGAAGGCCGGAATCACTGCATTAGTGAAGGATCTTTTTTCGCGCCGTGGGAGATTGACTATAACTTAAAAAATATTTAATTTTTTTCTTCAAAAATTTCACTGTATATTCTTGAAACATGTATAAATATATTCTTAAAATTTTGAAATAATTGATAAAGTATTTTTTTTAATAAAAATTCCCAAAAATCACCTTTTTTAAGCCTTTAAACACTAGGTGTGCCCTTTAAAATAAAACCTCTTATTGGAGAACCCTTTACTTGCACATTGACAAAATTCACCTAAAATTTAAATAAAACTTTATTATAAAATGTTTTATAACTCGAAAAAAAAACTAACAACAACAATGAAAGAATTATGTATACCACTGACACTTTGAACTTAATTAAAAAGTCAGCGAACCAATACAATTTACATTTTACAAAATAGACAAATTTTTAAGCGCTTCCAGACGCTTAAGTTCCCGTACGAAAACAAAACGAAAGCCACCACAGTAGATTAGAGCAAGTGGCTGGCTGAGCATTGTCGTGCGTAGCGTTTGACAAAATGGATGTACTTAAAGGTACCTACGACTTGATAACAAGTCCCAGCACGACGCCGGAAGGTAAGTGTAGTGAAAATTTTGTAAAAAAAAGAAATTGTTTTTAATTGTTTGGGATTTTTATAATTTTTATTTAATATTTTCATTTTACATTTGCGTTAAATATTTTTATTCCCTCAAACAGGCTACAAGTATCTACCCTATCATGGCGCACTTCTACCCGTGATTTTACTCGAAATCGCCTACATGACCTTTGTATTCCGAATTGGACCATGGTTTATGAAAAACCGTGAACCATACAAGCTGACGAGCGTACTGCGTTACTACAATATAATACAGATTGTTTTCAATGCCTTCATGGCTGCTATGGTATGACTTTTATTTATTTAATATTTAAAAACAAAAAAAATTATTGTTTCCCTAACACAATCAATTACAGGCTATCTATTTGTTCATTTATAAAAAAGTGGTGCCCATCGGCTGCATGACAGTGCTGCCTTGGGAACATCCACTCAAGTCGGTAGAGATGCTCGCCGGTTACTCGTACGTGATAAATAAATTTCTCGATCTTTTCGATACGATCTTCTTTGTGCTGCGCAAGAGTTACAAGCAAGTCACCTTTTTGCATGTCTACCATCACATCATGATGACCAGCGTTTCGTATGTTTATATGAAAATTATTGGCTCCGGTGGACATGCCGCCATACTTGGCATGATGAATGCTATTGTACATGTCATAATGTATGGTTATTACTTTGTGAGTGCGACTAGTCCGAATATGAAGAACTCCCTTTGGTGGAAGAAGTATATTACGCAGATACAGATTGTACAATTTGTCTTGGCCTTAATTCATAATTCATGGCCACTGGTAGTGCAAACGGATTGTGCCGTGTCGAAGACCTTCTGTGTATTCTCTGTGATACAAGCGGTGCTTATGATCTATCTCTTTGGTAGTTTCTACAAGAAAAGTTATCTGGATGCTAAGAAAAAAACTGAGAAGCGTAAATGATTTTAGTGAAATTTGTTCTTTCTTATGTGTAATAATATAATATGTTTAAATGAGTTTGTTAACTTTTAAGTGATAAGTGCACTACGATAAAAAAAAATTATTAAAGAGACTATTTCATATTTGGTACTTATTTACTTTAAACATTATTATTTATAGTTAAAAAATATTTTCCTTTCAATTTTTTATCGCATTTTAGAAGCTTATGAAATCAATTAGCTCTGTTCGGTGAGAAATGTCAATAAAAACTTGCCAATAACGAAATTGTGAGAGTAAAATATTTTACTCTCACAAAGCGAGTAAGTTAATATATATATTTTTTTGTGCTTTTAAGTATTTGTTTAAGTATTTTAATAAAATTTGGCAATTATAAAGCATTTTTAATTTATAAATTGAATTCAAAATTTATTGTATTTCAACAATGATGAAATTCTACATGCTTTAAAACTTAAATAGTTACCAACAATTTTTTTTAATAGCCCTCTAGCAGGCCTATTCTCTTGGAGGTAACAAAATTTACTTTGTTATTAAAATTTACCATTCAGTAAATTTTTTTACTATTTCGTATTCTGAGTTCACTGTCACCCTGTAAGTTTTGTTACCAGCACAGTAGGAGGTAAAAAACAATCAGCTGTTCGATTTTGTGTTGTTAATTTGTGAAGAAACCAAAAAACCAAAATTACATATTTTACGTCTAGAATTAATTGAAGATGAAGAAAATAGTGCAAGAAGGCGCATGTTAAGAAGTTTGCGAGAACAAAATTACCATTTTAGTTTGTCATTTTGTATCTTTCGCCTGAACAAAACAATTAGCTTAGAGCTTATAAACGAATTGGCAACATACGAGTATAATAACAATGGAGTAGATGTTCATTTTCATATGTAATTTTTAAATTAATTTTTTTTAGACAGAAGACATTATTGCCATTTTATTTTAGGTTTCTCTCAACAAGATATTTCTTTTCCCACGGGTCGTGTCAGTAATTCGTCTAACTGCCATGAGCCAATCTTCGGTTTCCGAATCACTGCACTATATTTTAAATTTGTTTGTCAAAGTAAAAGCATATATATGTATGAACATTCTTCTTTTTACTTTACCAACTGGCAAATGTAATTTGACATGGACGAAAAAAGCAGTGCTGCCATAGTTTTTCTCAAACATTGTAACCAGTTCGCCAGAATACCAAATTCATCTTCGGGTGTTAAGAAAAATTAACGAAAATTACTTTACCGTTGGCAGTGAGAATTATAGGATTTAGTTTTATTTAACAAGTGGCTTCACTATTCTTTGAATCATTGATATCATTCAGTTTAATCAAATTAAATAACATTTAATCACTTATTTTGATAGTTTATTATTCATATTAAAGTTTGAATATTATTTTTATTTTGAACCATTTTAATTTTTGTTACCGAAAATGCAACCATTTCATCACAAACCAGCTGTTTATCTAGCTAGTTTTCACTGGGCCAAATTTTCCCAGCACGAATTTGCCGCTTTCTCTCCAGCTAAACGTCAAAATTCGCTCTCTCGTTACAAATTTTACTGGATTTTCCACTCAGCGAACGCGAACTATTGTTACTGCCCATCAGGTCAACGAACAATACTAATATCTGAGCACAACCATTAAGGACAATTATACAATTTTATCGATATTTACATCGATAGCTATTGCAAATTTTTATTCATACGAAATAATGTTCATGAAGCATACTTTTGCAGTTTCAGCACTTAAAAAAATTTGTCGCTCTCAAATTATATCTTGAATTTGATTTGCCGTTTGTGGTTTTCTTTTTATTCATTTTATCATCAATAGTTCACAATCCTCCGGCTGTGATAACATTAATTCATTTTTTACGTTGCTTATGAAAAGTATTTTTCACTTTCTCTCTTCATGAAGGCTCTAGTTTATATAAATAGCGCTTTGTAACCGCTAAAACGATTTTCCGCCGAGCTCCTCCTTCAATTTGTGGTTTTGCATCTTGATATTCTTCCATCAAATGGAGGGGCTTACAGTATTACAGTCATTATTTCATGTCAGAAATATAGCCGGAGGGGTTGACACTCACTGCCGAGAGGGATGCTGGTCGCACGCAATGCTAACCACTAGGCTATCGCGGCCTAGTTTACGTATTCTAAATAAGTGTTTTCCTCACATACATATATTATATGTAAAGAGAAAGTATAATGGTATGATTGAATTACTGCAATAACTACTAATCTCATCGTTTGTTAGAAGTAAGTACATTCCAAAACTAAAATTTAGACGACCTATACGGAAAACTTCATGAGAGTTCCAAGGCCATAAGACTAATTGCAATTCAATCATGGACGAACCGCATAAGACCTAAATACTAAACATTACATCATTCCCGGATGAGGTAGACTACATCAATTCCGTCTTCCTCCCTGAAGGTTAGGGGTTCAAAAATTTGCTCGCCTGTCCTAAGAGGCGAATAAAATCCAATAGTTTCCGCGACAGTCGGTTTGCGGTTGCTACAACAACAGCAACAACAACAACAACCCATTCTGTCTTCTGCTGCGACAATACTTTCTCAACAAAACTGCAGGAAAGGAACGAATGGTAAAATGCAGCAGTTCCGCATCATAGCCATCTTCACCAACTGTTCTAAACTAGATTGCAAAGTAGGTTGTGTTTGACTTTAAACCGAACCCCTAACTATAGATTGAAGTAAAACACTTCCCGACCACTGTTGCGCCTTTCAATCCAATCGCAATAACCGAAGCCGCTTCATGGTTACTCTTTCCAATAAGTTAATAAAACCTTTTAAAATATATTTTGACAGTCTTGCTGCTGCCATTAAGTCTTTCCAATACAATCTTACAACCGCGAAGGTGGCAATGCAGGGCAGAGAGTTCTTAGACAAACTCTCGACTGAATGCAAAACGTCCGTGCTTGGATTATCGGCCTTAGAGGCATCCCAGGGAACTGTGACGAAATGGCCTGGAAGGGAAACTCTACACTTGGCATGGGCAAGCGGCGTGCCCTCGGCATGAATATCTGCTTATTGGCCTTCCCTAGAAAGGCCAATAATAAATGGCAGAGCAAAACCACGTGCAGTGTGACAAGACAAATCTGATCAGTAATTTTGGTAAACAGAACTAAGTCCTATTCCACCTGAACCGGACCTCCATAAGCATAATAACCAACATAATAAGCGGACACTGTCTTATGGTGACTCATGGTAAAAGAATGTGCTGATTTTCAAACTACTTCTGCCGCAGCTGAAGTAAGGACATGAATGAGGATAATCGAAAGCGCATTACCTCTGCCACTGTCCAGCTCTCAGTATGGTCCGTTGCTCACAAATTTTTTCTTCGATTGTCTAGCAAAACTTGAATTGGTAAGTATCATTAACCTTCTCAATTTCATAAAACAGACCAATCGATTTGAGCATTTGGAAAGGTGAAAGAAATCTCCTTAGCAGAACCAACGTAGGTATCACAATGGGCCAGAAGGCCTAAGTGGGCAAGCTATATGTTTATGTAATCCGGAAAATAAATTTTGCTGCAGGATCATAACCAAAATAGTTCATTGTTCGCTTCTCTTCTCGCCTCTGTCGTTATGTGAAATCCCGAAATTATTATGAGTAAAATGTATTACCGTGATTATGTGTTATGAAAACGTTTCACTACGTTGTTGTCTATATAAATTGTATTCATGAAAAAGTTACATTACTATTTTAAATCCATAATTTTTCTACAGAACACCCAACAAGTGTAAAATGTTGATTGTCGAATTCTTTTTACCGAAAGCTTAAAAAAATTTGGTTGTTTTTCGAAATTCATATTTTTTCACATGAAAACTATGAAAGTCTTTCATATGAAAAGAACAAAATTTCTTATTTTTTCACAGAATAAATATGAAAGCAATTTAACTTTTCCATTTTTCACAGAGTGCACAAAAAGAGTGAATAGAAAATTTTGAATTTTTCAAATGAAAACAATTTATTTCTTTACTCTTTTTTCTACTGAATTCGTTTAAATGAGAAAAAGCTTTTAATTTCACGTAATCACAGAAAATGAATTGACAATTTTCGTCCAATTTTTTGAAATAAAAATCTTAAATGAAAATTTTAAACAAAAATTGCCAACAAGTCGATCGTAATTACTTCCATCTCTAACTGTGCCATTAGCCCTTTGGCGAGAAAGAAAAATAGTGAGACTCTGTAAGGAATAAAAGAGACGTAATTAAATGAAATATTTGTTTAATAAAGCAAACATCAAATTTTGGCAACCAGTTGATATCTTTGTAGAATTTCATTTGCTACTAATTCCTTTGTAACTATAATTGAAAATAGTGCCGTCAATATCTATTACGTGGTTACTTCGGTTCAAGTCTTACGACTAACTGAAATATTTCACACGTACACAAAGCATTGGCGCTTACTTCTGGGAATTGAACTATGATTTGTGTACATACTTATATACATGTAATATATATGTATGCATATAATTACATATACACATAGGTATACTTGTAAATACACCTGTTGTTAAAGCCTCTTTGCATAAAGCTTTTTTTCATAAGTACGCAAAATCGCTGAATGCTTGTGACTGCAAAAAAATAACCGATTTCAAATTTTGAAATAATTCCTAATTATTGATTTAAAGTCGGTAATTTATTATTTTTGATTTTCTACCATTTTTCCATATTTGACTTAGATCAAAGCGAGAATGTAACGAATCTTCAGTTTGTATTATGACGTAGTTTTATTGTGAATTTCCTCCATATGAACCATTCACGATGGCATTTATTTGACAGCTAATCCGGCCCGTTTAAAAATTGAGTAAATAAAAATGAGGGAAAACTGAAATGTTTTGAAAATGTGTGTTGAAAATGTGCTTAATATACGAACTCCTTCTACTCCGCTCTCATTTCGGCGAAATTTGCCATGACTTTCGACATATTGTTTCCATTATTTCATGCCGGAAAGCAATTAGAGGGAATTTCCAAAGAAGAGACGCTGTGTTCTATGCTGTTTTGTAGAGAAGTAGTTTTATTTTAAATTTCTTTAGTGTCCTAATGGTTGAGAGCTCCACTGTGTTGAACTTAAAAGTGTTTTATTAAATTTGTCAGTTAATGATATTCAGTCCTTTTATTTCAGTACACATTTTCATATACACAAATCACTATGGAAATAAGTGTATATAAGTATACAACACTATCTTCTCTTTTGAAGTGAAACACAAAAAACGAAAAAAAGCAGACATTTTTTAGTCTCGATCAGCTAAGGTTATTTGAAAACATGTGTCATGTAAATATGTACACGTATATATTATGTATAATTGGCGTTTTATAACCATTGAAGCGGTCTACGGTCAAGCTCCTTGTCAAATTGTGGTATGCGTTATCCAACATACGGAAAGAGCTACAGTTTATTCTAAGCAGTCCCCGAACGATGGATGAATTTCTATAAGGAGCTTTTACTTCATGTTAAAAATCACTCGGATGACATTTCGTGCCGAGAGCCGCTATTTGAAAAATTAATTTTCATTATTTTAGCTGTTGTTCGAACCGTGACTTGAATTCTGGCCTTCCGAAGTTCAGTACGCAATGCTAACCACTCGGCTATGTCGATCGCTATACGAGTATATTGTATATACCTTTAACGGCACTTAAGCGAGAAATATCTCTATATAATTTTTTTGTTTAGCTAGACTCTATTTGAGAACCAAAAAATCAAAATATGAGTTCAAAGTCAGTTTGATATTACTAAAGGTGATTTTTCAAAAGAGAGTGTTTTAATAGAGCACAAGTTATGTGGATGTGATTTTTTAATTTTTACGACAATTGACTCGTAAGAATCTTGCAATAAAGAATTGTATTAAAAATATAATAGATAAAATAATAGCAATAATATTAAACCAAAAATTAAGCTCATGGAAATGCATAAATCAGTCGTTTGCAGGGGGCTTTAAAACTGTAGTCACTTTTTATTTTTTGTCCCGTGCGAATATGAGGTTTTTTTTTGCGCTATATTGAAAACAAATATTCGAAATTAATATACAAAATAATGCGTTCTCTTTTCATCAACCGGTGCAGGCATCATGCGACTTTTGGTTTAAGGTATAGAAATCCGATGCAACAGTTGCAATTCTATACATACAAGTAGCTTGTAAATATTATGCTAATTCATGTTAATGTAGACTAGACGCCAAGTGTCATATTAAAAATTACATGCCTCTGGTGTTGAAACACATATTCGTATATTTATTCAAAACTGTCTATTCGAGCGAAGAAGTCGGCTTCATCGAGAACAACAATAAAAATCAACGACAAAACCATGTTGGGCGAAATGTTTGACTTTCTGGCAAGGCCCAGTGAAATCAAAGAAGGTATGTTTCTAATGAAAATTCTATCGAAAATTCTATTAAATCTATTTGAAGCGTAGACTTTTTATTTATAAAAATATATATTTTTTTTTTTTAATATTATTTTAATTCTTTAAATTTTAACAGCGTACGACTATTTGCCATTTCATGGTGCCTTATGGCCGATTATTATTGTGAATGTATTTTTTGTCTTCTTCGCTTTTCGATTGGGACCATGGTTGATGCGAAATCGCGAGCCATTTAATCTCAAACGCGTTATTATGATTTATAATGTCGTTCAAATATTTTTCAATGCCATTATGGTTTGGTTGGTATGTAAATAAATATTAAATATGCGGTGTTTTTGTATGTATGAAAAATTTCACGATAACTACTAATCTGTATCTCTCTCTCTCTCTCTGCTATCCACAGAGCGTATATTTAATATCGATTTATTTGACTGAATCGGGTGGCCTGGGTTGTATTCAGCAGCTGAGAAGTGATCACCCGAGTAGAGGTTTCGAAATATTTTGTGGATTTTTATATCTTTTCAACAAATTTCTGGACTATCTGGAGACATTATTTTTCATAATGCGCAAAAGTTACAAACAAGTTACCGTCTTACATGTCTATCATCATATAATGATGACAACTTTCGTATTCCTATATATACGCATTGAAGGTTCAGGCGGTCATACGTCCACCGTACCGATGCTTAACACTTTGGTGCATGTAATTATGTATGTGTATTATCTGATGAGTTCGATAGATCCGGCTTGGAAGAAATCTTTGTGGTGGAAAAAATATATTACACAAATGCAAATCGTACAATTCTTTATTGATTTCATCCATCAACTCTGGCCGTTGGTGGTGGTGCGCGATTGCCCGATACCGAAAATTTGGAGTTACATCGTTTTGGTGCAAGCCACAGTTATGATTTATATGTTTGGCAACTTTTACATTAATAGTTACATAAGAAAACCAAAACCAAAGAAGGTGGAAGAGAAGAAATTGTAACTTTCAATTGACCATCTGTATAAGCGAAAAGCCCACGGGTTATCAATTAGAATTTTTACACCTTGTAATTATTTATTGGCAGTCTTTTGGGATTTGAAAATTATTATTATGGAAATTATGGAAATAAAAGACTATTTTCTTTTTTTTTTGTTATTATATTTATATGTATATATAGCACGAAACGTTATATAACAAAAGGGAGTATGAACCAGGCACTTGGAAGAGCTTCACAAATGCAACACGCTGCAGAAAAGACCCCTAAAATAACAACTCGATTGAGCAGGCTGACGTCCAATATCAGAGGACCCTCGCAGGAAAAAAGACAATTACTGATGTCAACTACTATTAGTTGTCTATGGGAGAACTATGAGCGGACACATTGAAGAAAGATAACCGCGGCAAAGTTACTGAAAAAAAAGAATCTTGCGGCAGATTAACAGGAACTCTGGTAACATAGAAAATTCAGCGAGGGGAACCCTTACATCACCCGATCGACGGTTTCTCAGAGAAGAGTATTTTAATGACCTACAGGTAGCACTTACCGTTGATGTGACGGCACCAGAGATGCTCAAGATACACACAGATATCATTCTGTTTCGTTAACAAAAAAATTAAATTCGCGAAATAAATTTTTTAAACTTAAAACTACACAAACTCAGCGTTGACGATCATTTTAAAATGGCTGCTCGCTATGAAAGTAACGGCACACTTCAGATTCAACATTATCTGTTAACGACTTAAAATATCTGTTAACGATTTAACATCATCTGTTAGCGACTTTATGTATCTGTAAACGATTTAACATTACTTGTTAACGATTAACATTACCTGTCAACGATTTAAAATATCTGCTAACGGTTTAACATTACCTTTTAACGATTTAACATTATCTGTTAACGATTTAAGATATCTGTTAACGATTTAACATTACCTGTTAACGATTTAACATCATCTGTTAGCGACTTAAAATATCTGTAAACGATTTAACATTACTTGTTAACGATTTAACATTACCTGTTAACGATTTAAAATATCTGTTAACGATTTAACATTACCTGTTAACGATTTAACATCATCTGTTAGCGACTTAAAATATCTGTAAACGATTTAACATTACTTGTTAACGATTTAACATTACCTGTTAACGATTTAAAATATCTGTTAACGATTTAACATTACCTGTTAACGATTTAACATCATCTGTTAGCGACTTAAAATATCTGTAAACGATTTAACATTACTTGTTAACGATTTAACATTACCTGTCAACGATTTAAAATATCTGCTAACGGTTTAACATTACCTTTTAACGATTTGACATTATCTGTTAACGATTTAAAATATCTGTTAATGATTTAACATTATCTGTTAACGATTTAAAACATCAAAAACTAGGAAGAACCCATTTTGAGGAATCTTTCTCTACTTTTCTGAAGTCTCTTATTATTTTCACATTCATTCAGAGTAGTTTTTCTGTACTCTAAATGTACTTCGAAAAGGAACCATTGTGATGATGCTGGTCAAACAAGAAGACTTATAGAAAATTTTGAATGTATAGGGTTATACATTTTGTGGTTTCGAAAATTAACGTAAATAAAATGCATATAAAATATTTTTCACATGAAATTCTGCTTCACGAATTCTTACAAACTCCGATCTATTTGAGGTAATTTATATGTGCCACTTCTTGGCACATATTGCGCAATTCAGCCATAACTTGATGAATGCTGGTTTTTCAAGTGATAGAAGTTTATCCGCATAAGCATGGTCTTTCGCATAGCTTCACAAAATAAATCCCAACGGTGTTGAATTGCTCGATATAAGTGCCCAAGAAGAAAATTTTGTTCCAAAATTCGCCGTCCATTGCTTGTTGAACAAAATAAAAAACTCTATTGATATTTGCTTCGTGTAACCAATGAGATCAACGAATGCGTGAGACTTTTAAAAACCTTTATTTTCCAAATATTCTTGAGTTACTTTTGAGTAGGTTCACTTCAAGACAATGTGACTTTGTGTGAAAACTGTCGGGGCGTACGCAGGCGACACATTAAAAATTTAGTTTTTGTCCAAAATGTCGAGTTACTTGTGGGTGGGTTAATATAAAAGGCACAAACGTATGTTTGCGATTTTTATTTTTCAAAGCATTAAACTCACAAAGAAAATTTTTTATCTACTGATTTTATGTGCTTGAGAGAAACGAACGTAATGCTTATAATTTTTTTCAAGAATTTAAAGGAATTAAACATACAAAGTGTATACCAAAGTAAACAGGACTTTAAAAAAAAGGCAGGATAAATGGTTTCCGAAAAGGTAGAAATCGCACGGTGCCACATCAGGTGCATATGGGGAGTGGTTGATTGTTAAAATGTGATTTTTGGTCAAATAATCGGCCACAATCGTCGTGCAACATACGCCAACTACCATCTTCGCGATATTCGGGCCGAAAATGTCGAATACGGCGCACCAAACGCTTCAAAACTCCCAGGCAGAATACCGCATCAACGTTCCATTCTATTTCCATGAATTTCAATGATAATTTTGGCTGATTTTTTATGAATTCACGCACTAAATATTTCGATGGAACTTTCGGTGATCACGGATTTTTGTTGGCCCACATGTTCATCGTCATTTATGTCCTCACGATCACTTTGAAAACGTTGAAACCACTCGTGCACTCGGCTACGAAATAGGCAATCATCGCCATAAACTTGTTTCGGTGAAAGTTTTTTTTACCAATTTTAAGACAAAATTTTATGATTTGGCTCTTTGTTTGAAGCTCATTTTCGCACCGATAAAAAAAAACATATTGACACTTAAAACGCAAAAACTTCACTTCCTATAGATGAAATGTCATGAAATTTTTTCTGGAAGTCGATAAAGGATAAGAGATTCTAACGCACTAGTCGACATATAGATGGCGCAACTAGAGGGCGCTAGGTTCAATAAGGTCTGTTCACTTTGAAACGCAACTTGTATTGTAGAATAATCTCTTTATATTAAGTTGAAGCTTTAAATGTTATTTGTTTTCTCAATATCCAAGCGTGTGATTTTTCACAAAAAATACGCCAAATCTCTCTCTCTCTCCCGCTCTCTCTCTCCCTCGCTCTCTATCTCCTTCTCTCTGTCTCCCTCTCTCTCTCTCCCTCCATCTCCCTCTCTCTTTCTCTCTTCATCCCTCTCTCTCTCTCTCCCTCCCTCTCTCTCTCTCTCCCTCTCTCTCTCTCTCTCCCTCTCTCTCTCTCTCCCTCCCTCTCTCTCTCTCTCTAACTGTTCTATAGTAATTTTCGAAAATTTGATTTATGCCAAGTGTACTGAGTTCCCTTAAGGGATTCCCTGCAAAGTTTGCTGTGTTTGCAACCTAAGCGTAGAAGCATATTTCTAATTCAGGCCATGCAACTTCATTCCAGAGAGGAGTTTTACATTGAAGTAAACTCGGGTGTCTTTTTCAAAATTTTATTTACATAATAAATATGTGAGGCAGTAAAACAGCTTCAAACATTCACATAAACTAAAAAGAAATGTCTGAGTATGTTTATCAGTCAGTAGTGGCAGACAGACGTCGAGGACAAATTAAGCTAAAAATACTATTTTAACTTATTTCAAAGAAATCACACAAACAAACAAAATTAACTCAATGAATAGAAATAGATTTTTTTTTTAATTCGCAAAAATACAAATTGAAAAGAAATTTAAAAATCACACATCAAATATGTGGGGGCTAAAATTTGATGAGCTTGTTGAAAATCTAAAAACCACAATTTCAATATAAACAATTCAAACACATACGTATGTACGTACAATATATGCAAAGCAATTAGGATTGCCTTAGACGTCAGCCAAACGAAAAAAATACAAAAAAAAAACAAAATATGGTGTTAATGACGTCAAAGTAGCAGAATTTTTGCTCAATGAAAATATTGCAAAATCTAGATACATACATACATAATATATAAACAGAGATAGTCATGGGCTATAAGAACAACGATAGCGTCATCGACCACCTGCAAACAGGAGTTTCGGTAAACACAATAGAATTTAAACAAATTTTGTATTTGAAGAGAATGCAGAAGTTTTTAAAAAAAATCCAATTTTTTCAAAAAATACATTTAAATTTGACCGGACGTTTTCCAGGTTATGTCAATAGAAATATTATGTTCTGTTCGACCAAGACTAAAAGTTATTAATTTTCGAAAATAATTCTCTCAGTATAACATGCGCAATGGTTATAAGCATAAGTTTTGGTAACCACAATATCTAAAATTATTTTCTATATATTCGAGCTGCTCGACAGGAGCTAATTTGATGTTGAACAAATTTTTTAAAGAAAATTGCAAAAACAAATGATTTTCTATGTCTGTCAATTTTATTATATGAAATTATAATTTTCGAAATATGCGTCTAACTTTTTTACTTACTGCTTTATTTTTTTTTTAATTGTATTAATTGCTCCATAATAATGCTTCTTCACAGCAATCGTTAAATAAATAGGTCTAAACTAATGGACTGGCGGGACAGCATGTCTGCAAATTACCTTCATGTGCCGTTAGTTATTTATTTATTTTATTAACTTTCCAACTCTCCAAATAAAACTTAAACTAATTTTACTTTGTTTATATTTTCTTTGACACCTTCGAATTGTTTTATTTTTTATTAAAAATAATTGTTACTCATACGCCGTGTTGCGTGAAGAAGTTACGTTAAGGGGCACACCTTGTATAATGACCTAAAAAAGGTGATTTTTGGGAATTTTTATTAAAAAAAAATACTCTATCAATTATTTCAAAATTTTAAGAATATATTTACACATGTTTCAAGAATATACAGTGAAGTTTTTGAAGAAAAAAATGAAATATTTTTTAAAAAGCTCTTTCACTGCTGCAGTGATTCCGACTTTTTCCGTGGATGAAATTTAAAAAAAAATCTCTTTAAGATAATATTGTCTGTACAATGACCTACGATAAAAAAAATCAAAAATCGACAATATGGCGGCGTTTTAAAAAAAATAGTCGAATTTTAACCAAAATTTTGGTCGTTTTTGGCCTGATCAAATCAAAACTATAGGTCATTGTACGGAGAACTATATGTAGAACATGTAAAAAAAGATCGATAGTGATCGGATCATTTGTTCTTGAGTAATCACTGCAGCAAATTCGGAAAATGCTGTTTCGAGAAAAACGCGTTTAAAGTTAAAATGATCGTTTTCACTCGTAGCTAATGAGACTCTCTAGCTGCCGAGCGGCTGCTCTTTAAATTGCTATAACTCAAAAACTATTTCAGATATCGATTTGAAATTTTAATGTGTTATTTTTAAAGGTGTAATCTACCGAAATATCAAATATCATAAAAGATCGATTTTTTTGAAATTACGCACTAGATGTGCCCCTTAAGCCCAGGTTCCAAAAAAAGTGTTTTTATTCAAAAAAAATTTATTTATCTAAAAAAAAATATTTATAAATAAAAGTTTTTGTAGATAGGTAGACGTATATAAATATTAATTGAAATTATTTTATTTTTAAATAGCTGCTCGTAAAATTGCTCATGAGCCACGTCTCTTTTGTTGGTGCGTGAATCGTTAACTGTAAAATGAATCATCTGAAAGCAAAAATTGATAGGTTTCTTTTTCTGTATCCTATTGGCTATGGCCGGAACTACAATGAAACATTTTCACAAATATAAACAGAATGGCGGAGTTTTTAATTGTTTCACCTTTTTTCGATTTTATTTTTTGAATATCAATGAATATAGAACGACAGTTTAGTTCATGTTGATAAGTTCAAAAGGTTTTAAATAAGAGTGCCACGCGGTTGAAAAGACGTGGTTTCGAGAAAAAGACGCTTAAAGTGTTCGAGCGGCCGGATTTTCCGCTTGGCGCACTCCGCTCTCCGCTCTTCTTGGTCTTGTAGACCTTCGTAATAGTAAGAGTAATTTGTAGCAATTTACAGAAAAAAAATTTCGATTTTTTGTTAATTTTTTAGAAGAACCTAACCTCAAGCCCTAAATAGGGGCGGCAGTTGCATATATGCAGGGCGAAATATAGTGTTGCCGGTTAATTATTCAAATTTAGTCTTCTAAGCTCTATTGAATAACATTTTAGAAGTAAGTTAACTTATAATAGCTCAGTTTAGTTTTAAGTTTTTTAAGTCTAATTATGTGGACGTGTGTTAAATTTAATATACGCCTTGGAGCAAAACTGGCAACTACGAGTATAAGTTTTTTGAAGGTGTTTACATATTTATTTATTACGCACCGCTTAAAGGTTTACCAATAATAGTCATGTAATTTACACACATCATGCATATTGTAAATCTAGTAATCGCTGGTATTTGATACAATCAATTATTTAAAAGTCAAGTATATTTTTTAGATTATTGTATTTAAATTTCTTTTATTTAATTACTTTATTTTACCATTATTCAATTTATTATATTTTTATTTATTTAATTTAATCTTATTTTATTTTTTCTATTGCAATATATTTTATTTTATTTTACTCTTCTATTTAATTTTAAATTATATAATATAACAATTTTAAGTTTAATTTTACTTAAGTTATTGTAACGTATTTCGTGTTTCATTTTATTTTATTTTTTTTTTATTTTATTTTATTTTATTTTATTTTATTTTATTTTATTTTATTTTTTAAATTTATTTTAATTTACTTTATATTTATTAATTTATTTTATATTTTTTCATTTAATTTTGCTATCAAATTATTTTATTTTTGTTTAATTATTTTATTCTTTTTATTTTATTTAGTTTACAGCATTTTTATTGATATTATTTAACTTTATTTTTCAAATTATGTTCATACTTTTATTTTATTTTTAGTTTTATTTCAACCTTTTTATTTTAGAGTAACATCAGAGTAAAATTGTTTTATGAAATACGCTTACTTGAATGTATGAATATTTCATTAGTTTTTTTTTTTTCTTCAGTGTTATTTTTCCCTTTTGTGCATTGTGTGCATAGTTTATAGCATTTAGTTGCATATCACACTATTATTAATATGAAAAACTGTTGTCTTTGCAAATATTTCACTTACTTAACATATGTAAATATGTATGTACATAAACACCTGCTTTTAGATCCGGTCATTTAAGGTTATCAAAAAAGGTGCATTTCTAATTTTTAACAAAGTTTATTGTTTTTATTGTAGTAAAAATAAATAAAATTTGTAAAAATGCATTTAGCGGGCAAAGTTTTACAGATGTTAAAAAGGAAAAATCGCACGATGCTATATATCTACAACGACTTATGTAATGAAATGTTTTTTAAAAAATGATGGAGGATTAAAGAATTTTGTTTTATGGTAAGGATTTTTTATTAACAATGCCGTGGTACTTCAAAACGTGTTCATTATTATTATTTATTACTTTCAAAAATTAATAGTTTTTTTTTATTTATTCAAATTGGCATTGCCATAATTCTCCGATCAAATTTTAAATATTTTTGGGGTTGGGAATGATGACTTTTGTTATTAGAAAAAAATGTGGGTGACTAAATGGAGAATGTTGGTACCATTTAGTGAACAAATTTTATAAAAAATTTACATGTTGGTAAGCTAAATGACCGAAGCAGCTACTTAAATGCGCTAGTTAGCGGCTGCCACATTGAAATTTAGGTCTGTATTTAGGCTAATTAATGCGTCTTAGTTCCATTCGTCTGTAACAACTTTTCTACAGTTGAAAGAAATATTTTGGAACAAAAGAAAATTTATAAAATTTCGGAGAAATGTTATGCGTCCTTGACGAAGGCCAACTGTGAATGGTATAAAAATTTAATACGATCAGGCCAAGTAGTGCTAGCACATATACATATATATGAGCATATGTACATTGCATGTAAATAATATACGCAAACGACGCGATAGTTTACAATAAAGTTATGCTAATACATGGGAATATTTTTATAAGCTAAATGACTAGTTTTATACAAACTCGTACGCATGGCGATTGTGTCCGTTCTGTTTCGATTTAAATCAAATAAAAACTAAGTATAATCGACACATTTATTTAAAGCCAAAGCTCGAGCGGGCCGGACGTGTCCGTCGAAGATTTGTTGAAAGCAAGCAGCAAAAAAATACGAACAACAGCGCTATGTTGGGGGAACTGTACGATTTCCTGGCCAGGCCCAGTGAAACCAGAGAAGGTAAGTATCCGAAGAACAACAATTCTAAGATATAAATTTTTATAACTGTTATTTAAATTCCTTAAACAACCTTACAGGTTATCAGTATCTGCCCTTCCACGGTGCCTTAGGGCCAATGATAATTGGCAATGTATTTTTTGTCTTCTTCGCTTTTCGATTGGGACCATGGCTAATGCGGAATCGGGAACCATTCAATCTCAAGCGAGTTATAATGGCATATAATATCGTACAAATCTTCTTCAACGGCCTTATGATAGGATTGGTAAGTGTTCAAAGTGCAAAGTAGCGTTAGTTGTTTCGTAGAGATGCCTTAAGTTAAATATTTATAATCAAAAGGGAGGGAATAGAAAAGCAAAGTTGATAAATTTTATACTTTCCAGCATTCAAAGTGAAAATCAAATTAACATGCCTTTCTCTCAATAAAGGCATCTTTTGTTTGTATTATTTAAGACCTAATATTTTTAAACGGCCATATTTACGCTGCCACACACACACACACAACACATCACGAGGTCTCAAAACAATTTTACTATATGTATATTTAAATGTGCGGCTTTACTGACTTTTTGCAATATACTTACGGCCAAACTATTTGTTTTCAACATTTCATATTGTCTATTGTGAATGAAACTCTTAATATGAAGAAGTATATGAATTGTAGGGAATTTCAATTTGCCGAAGAAAAATTAAAGAATTGAGAATTATTATTGCTCCTCATCTTACCTTATATTATCAGAATTGGAAATACTGAGTCTGGTAATGTAGTAGACTACCTGAAAAACATTAAACTTAATATTAATAGCATTAATTGAATTTGTGTAGACAAGATCAACGTGCTGATGTTTCATTTTGTTCAAATGTGTGTGCTAAATTATTTGGTCAATTTATTAGTTCAGACAGGTTTTTATATTTACGCAAAATAAATTTCTCTTTATTTCTCTTACTCTCTCTTTCTCTGTACAGAGTGCTTATCTAATAACGACTTATGTGAAAGAGAGCAATGGTCTGGGCTGCATCGAGCAACTAGGTTATGATCATCCAACGAAAAATTTCGAAATATTTTGTGGACTTTTATATCTTTTCAACAAATATCTCGACTATTTGGAGACATTATTTTTCATAATGCGAAAGAGTTACAAACAAGTTACAATATTACATGTCTATCATCACATTATGATGACGACTTTCGTTTTCCTTTACATACGTATACAAGGTTCCGGCGGTCATTCGTCGACCATTGCAATGCTCAACACTGTCGTGCATACAGTTATGTACGTGTATTATCTTCTGAGTTCGATAGATCCAAAATGGAAGAAATCTTTGTGGTGGAAAAAATATATTACCCAAATGCAAATCGTACAATTCTTTATTGATTTTATCCATCAACTTTGGCCATTGGCGATAGCGCGCAATTGTGATATAGAGAAATCGTGGAGTTATATAGCTTTAACACAAGCAACAGTTATGATTTATATGTTCGGTAAATTCTATATTAATAGTTATATAAGATCGCCAAAGCCTAAGAAAGTGGCTGAGAAGAAAATGTAATTTACAGAGATATTCCTGATGAAGTAAGTTTCAAATATTAATATTAGTGTTGTTATATAATTGGCCCTTTGTGATATTGAAAATTATTAATTTTAAAATTTTTAAATCAAACGAAATTAATTTCAAGTTTTATTGATATAATTTATGTACAAACGCATACGCAGGTATGAAATAAAAAGTGTGTGATATTAAAAAAAACTGTTACCTAAAAATAAAAGAGAGAATAAAAAGAAAGAAAAGTTGAAAAATGAGAAGACACCTTTACAAAGAAGATCAACAATAACTATTAAGAGAAGAAAACAATTTTAACTATTTTTATATTATAAATTTTTACATATATCATTTAATTTTCTGACATACATACATACATACATACAGTAAGTTGCATTATCGCAAAGCTCAATGTCACACAGTGTACACAACAAACACATTGAGAACTCCAACAAGTGGTGCGATCTAGTCGAAGTAGCTAGTTGTGTAGTTACATACATACATATGTACATATGCACCCATGTCAAAAGTCCACACCACAAATGTCGATATTTATGTATGCTTCTAAGTTTTTGTGCAAGTTCTTCATGTGCATACTCAAATGTACATATGTGTGTTATTTGCGAATGATGAACGTGTATCAAACTAAATTAGTTTTCAATTGTATTTTAAATGAAAGGAACGCTATTTATAAAGAAATTTCCCTCAAAAAAGGTTAAAGAAAAAATTTACATTTTCCTACTCTAAACTCGTGAAGAAATGAAAAACAAATGAAAAACAAATGAAAAACAAAAATTATAATCAAAACCGAATATATACGAGTAGATGTTATAATTTTATGGATTTGTTGAAAATTGAAGAACCACAATTGGACATAAACAACAGACACACATGTATAAACGTATGTATAGATGTATTGTAGTACCAGAGTAGCATCTACGTCAGATATTCGCGAAAAAAAAATCACTTTTAGTGGTGTTGATGACGTCAGCAAATCAAATTTTTACTCAATGAAAGCATTCTGCAAAATTGGGGTAGTTAACCCATGAAAATTGAATACAACAAAATATAAAAACAACGATAGCGTCATCGATCACCATTACACACATGTGCTTGTTCATATGTACTTCTAACTTTCGTACAAACTAAAAATAATCACTTTTTTATACATATGTATACATATGTATGTACTACATATACTGGCACCTTCCAGCAACCGTACAATCTAAACTTTATATGCAGTGTATGTTGTTTATATACATAAATACATATATACTCGTATGGAAACATAAGTACCGCATTATATTTTGGGGCGTTCCCAATATTTATCATTGTTTACCGCCTCCATTTTGCTTTTCAGCCAGCAGGTGAACGCTTGCTGCACGTGTTTGTTAAGTGATTTTATTGAGTTTATTTAACAACCATATACATTTATATATGCAAATTTTCCTAATTTACAAATTTACCAAAGTTCTAGAGTTCTTATTGTTCTTATAGTTTCATATAAGTAAAGAAAATTGATTTTTTAATTATTCTTTTTTTATATTTGTCTAAATGATGAGTCTGCATATCCATCGAACTTTTCTCCTAACCTCTTAAAGGAACGCATGTTACTCATACCACATGTCAATTCATTTCTTTCGTTAACATTTCGTAAGTGACCAGTCACGTGAGACAATGTATGTAAATAAACAAAAGTTACTCTGTATTTCTACTAATATAAATAATTAAAATCACTTCAATTTTGTGCACTGGTCTTTGATTTAATCAGTTAATAACTTTTTTGGCACTTAATTAGAAATAAAATTATTTATTTGTGTATATGTGAATGTATTCTTAAGCGATTCACTGCGGATCGGCTTAATTGCAGTGGGTCGTACGCAAAATAAAATAAATATATATTCATATATTTTCTTATAAACATACGTGTGTATGTGTATCTTATTTACGTTTCGGTACAGAACTTTTGGAAAAACAATGAATTAACTCACGGCGGGTGTCATCATGCACTACTTTTAGGTTATGGTGGGCGTATGAATGAGATTTTTTTTTTAACAAATTTTGATGCTTCCAAATAGAAATGTTGTGAAATAGCAAACATTATAGAATTTGAATTGAATTCTTTTTTTATTAACACACTGGTTGCCAAGCGGATGTGACGAAAACCAAGCACGTTATTTTATTGCAAAGCGGTGCAGATCGGGATTATAATCATTTTGTGCTATTCCCGAAAGTTTTAGCAGCTTAATTAGGATTTTTTATGTGACGAAGAAGAAATCTTTGTCGCAACGCACAAAAAACATAAAAATGTCGAACATTGTGTAGCCTAGTCCGCCTAGTCAGTAAAACGGAAATTGCGTATAGATACATTTCCGGCTCAATAGTAAGAACCAACGACTGCATTACCAACCGAGAAAAAGAAGTTAGCCGTCCACATTTGTGCCTGCAAATTTTTAAAGCAAACATATTTTAAACAATTGCACATATATAAAGCGAATTATATCGCACTCTTTTTTAATAATAACTTTAAATAATTACAAAACAAATGTTCTAATAAAATTTTTGAAATAATGAGATCGCGAAAAGCACACGGCTACCAACACTGTCGTATTTACTTTATATGCACTGAACACACCACAAATTGACATTCGAAACTAAAATTCTAAAATTCCTTGCATTGTTTATAGTTGCAGGTGTGACAAAAATTCATTGAAAAATCTAATTATATTACAAATTTTAAAGAGAATATGGCCGCAAAAGTTTCTTCAAGCAACAATAAAGTGTTCCAAGCGGTAAGTTGTACTAAAAGAAGTTTTGTTAATTACATACACCGGTTGGTCAAACTAACCTCACCGCTATGTAGTAGATCATGGCAAATTATGTATTTCAAATGGAAACAATAATGCAATGCCTTTTTTCTAGGATGATGTGCACATCTCCTTTGAGGATCAACAGAAAATAAATCGTTTCGCCAAGCATAATGCACGCATGGATGATCTCAAAATGGAATTGGATATGAAGAAGAACGATTTGAAGAGTGTCGAGGAAGCTTTAGATGAAATCGAACTTTTCGACGAAGATGAAGAAATCCCATTTTTGTTTGGTGAGGTCTTCCTAACACATAAACTAACGAAAACACAGGTGCGCTAGCTAACTAATAATATATTTGTTGAAAACATTGTAATAATACTTTTATGTACTCCAACAGGAATTGTTAGCTGAAGTTAAAGAGCAAACATTAAAAGAAATCGCCGCAATTGAAGTTAAAGCAAATGAGATAAAAGCTGAAATGAATGAATTGAAATCTCATCTATATCAAAGATTTGGTAGCAATATATCACTTGAAAGTGAAGACTAAATAATGGCTGGCAAAAAAAATTAAATTAAATAGCATTTGAATTTAAACTAAGTTTAAACTTCATGTTCATCATAATTTAATAACAAAAGAATAAGTTAAATCTAAATAGTTTAAAAAGTGTCAGTCTTATTGGCGAAAATATACATGAGATTATCGCTGGCATTTTCCAGGCATGCTAGCTAAAAATAAAGGGGTGAAAGTTTATGTAAGTATTCAGCCCAAGATTTTAAGCATTCTAAACACATACCTCCAAAAAATTCGAATCGAATGGTGGCTTGTAATGTTTCCATTTCATCAGCGCATTTATCTTTCTGGCGCTTTCTGCAACATCATAAGACGTCACATTCTGCAAAAAAAAAATTAAAATTGCATATGATAGATTTCTTGTTTCTTGGTTGTGTTAAACAATACGATTACCTCCCCATCGCCATTGCAATGACAATTTAAGCTTTCATGTGTTTGGCAAATAGTATAGTCTTCCTGTAAACAAAACAAGTCCATGAGATCCTCTGCGGAAAACTTCATCGTATCATCACTGCTGCCTCTTCCTATATTTTCAGTAACGCAATCTCCCAGTGTCAGCTTCGCGATTTGTCTTTGAAATATTTTTTCTTCAATGCAACCAGCAGTTACCAAACGATAAATATGCACATCTCTCGTCTGACCATCACGCCATATACGGGACATAGCCTGCGCATCAGTAGCAGGATTCCAATCATTATCAAAAAGTATTAACCTGGATGCGCCTATTAAATTAAGACCAACGCCGCCGGCTTTTGCACTGAGTAAAAATACCAAAGAATCATCTGAATCGCTATTAAATTTTTCTACATTAGCATTTCTTTCGCTAACATTTGTGGAACCGTCTAGACGTAGACATTTTATATTCAGGAAATCACATAATCCCTGCAGTATATTGAGTGTTTTTGTATGATTTGAAACTAAAACGCATTTTTCCTGATTCTGAATTGCCGAAGCAATAAGGAAGTGTTGCACCAATTCTAATTTCGCTGAATCGAAAGGACCCATTTCTGAAAAATCCGGTAGGCAACGTTCTAGGAAACGAGTCAATATATTAGGGGTTTTCGTACGCGCAACCAGTGAGGGATGGTTGCATATTTTCTTAAGAACAGTAATTATTTGCAGTGGTGTTAAATCCTTTAAAACTGTATCTTTTCTTTGTGCATATAGCTGAAGAGCTTTTTGCAACATAAACTGTTGAAGTTCTGACGGTTGTACGAAAACAATGTACTCATACTTTGTAGGTAAGTATTGGCCATTTACGCTTTGTAGGCGGCGAAGCACAAATGTATCAGCGATTTTCATAAGCTCTCGAGTTCTTTCGTTTGCCAAATCCTTCACATCTGAGGATGCCTCGGGATTTTGACTCTCTTGCAACGGGAGCTCGTAGTAAGAGCGAAAATCTTGGTAAGTGCCAAAAATACCAGGATTAACAAAATCCGCTAGACAATAAAATTCTCGCAAATCATTCTGCACTGGTGTGCCGGTAATGATTATCCTTCGTGAAATGTTAAGTTCTTTCAAAGCAGATACTATTCTGGTCGACTGGTTTTTTAGACGGTGACCTTCATCACAAATTAGCATATCGAAAGTCATGCTTTGAAAATCTAATATATTTGCAAGTAGATTTTCATAAGAGACTATTACGAATGGTACATGTTGCTGTTTTGCATAAGACTCCAACTTTCGCTTACCACCAACTACAAAAGAATACATTCTTTCATTTTTTAACCATTTACTAACTTCCTTTTCCCAGTTACGAGTAAGACTACTTGGTGTAACTACAAGAACACGATGGAGTACTCGTTCACCACCATAAGGTCCACTTTTTAATAATATGCACGCAAGCGTGAGACACTGCAACGTTTTGCCTAAACCCATATCGTCTGCAAGTATACAACCGCGATACGTTGGATCGTGGAATCCCATAACGCATTTGTACAGGAATGAGACACCATCTCTCTGATGAGGACGCAAATGTTGATCGAGTTTGTGAGGTACTTCCATTGAATGTATGGGAAGTGAAGCTGGATTTAATTCTTTCATATGATTTTTTGGTGGTGATGGTAGAATAGAGCCATTGATTTTAAGAGAGTCTTTTCTCTTTTCTTGCCTAGCGTGAGAGTTTAAATTATTTTCACTTTTATTTTCCGTGGTATTTTCCGACTTCATTTCCAGTATCTCAAATTCCTTATTTCCTATTAACAAAATCACACCTATTTCTATTTCATTTAAAAGTAAGTTTTCCATTGAGCCCATTTCTTGTCCTCCTTCATCTTTCAGTATTCCTCTGTTGTTGTCTGTGTAAATCTCAAATACACCATCGCCGTTCCATGTTTTATTTTTCTTTGTGGTTACTTCGCGCCAAACAACATTGTATACAAATTTTGCTGAGTTTGATGGCCATGCGCCCTGAATAGCATTATCTTTATTGTTTTTAATTGTTTCTATACTTTTCAAATAAATGTTATTTTGCTGTTTACATGTTGATTGATACAATGTAGATACTTTCAACTTTTTCGACATTTCTTCACAATGTTGGCTTTCAGCAGAGCCCCAGCGATTTTCCACATATTGCTTCTGCAGCGAGAAGTATTTATTTTTATCCGTGATTTGCTCCAACAACTCGATCTCCTTTCCTCCTACAACCATTTGAAACCCTTCTTCTAAATCGCTAACTTGGAATTTTGTATTGGTGCCTAAATACTTTCCGGTGCTGTCCTTAAGCACTGCTCGCGGCAGCTCAAGCTGCACTTCAAGAAACCCATCTCCGTCCCATGTTTTGTGCTTTTTTTTGGTTATTTCACGCCAGACAACGTTAAATATTATTTTTGTATAAATATTGCTCACGTTTTCTTCAGTGTTATGGCTTTCGAATTTCACTCTTCTACTCGATGTACCCCAATTGTCGTTATCCAAGACAGTCGAACTAACTTCTTTATTTTTGTCATCACTTTCAAATAGTTTATCAATTTTTATACGTTTTTTATCTTCTCGCTCTTTTAGCATAGAGGGAGCGCAAGAGCGGCGCATTTTAAAGAAATTATACAAATTAAAAATTTTCAAATTTTCACAAAAATTGTAAATTTTTAAAGTTTCTCCGAGAAAATAGTTTAAATGTTTTGAACATTTCGCAACTATTTACAAAGCCTTACCAGATCTTTACCATTAATGAAATTTAAATTTAACGTATTTGTATTTTTTTTTGTGTTACTATTTAATACTAGTAAAAAAAATTACAGTTATACAGTTAATGTAAGAATTTTGCGTAATATGAACTCTTTACCTCGAATGAAGACTCATCATTATATAGGATTTCAATGGCGATTTAGTTGGGATTCATGCCAAATTACCTAATTTGCTACACAAAATTTTTGAGAGCGAATTACGCAAAAAGTCGTAATTCATTCTCAATTTCCTTCTGAATTACGTTGAATCGTTGTCTTCTCCAATTTTTATCGGAAATTTATCGATACCAGCTGATAAATCAAAATATAAAACACTTACTATTGTTACGATTTTACTGAATCAACCTCGATTATTTTCTAGATCCTTCGGGTACGATCTCTGGATTGTTAAATAAAAACTCGCCAATTCAATTTGCNTTTCGCAACACTATTATTTGAAACCAAACACTATTTGTAATATACGAACAAAAAATTAAAAATAACTAAAAAAGTTTTGTGGCCAGGCGGATAATAACCTTGCTGAAATTAAAACCAGAGCAAGATTTTGATTGGATGTGTTGATTTAATGACTTTTTTTGTCGGATGCGGCAAGCTGGCTTATATTTTCCCAGCGTTTTTAAATGAAAAAAGGAAACCAGCGAAACAAACAACTTTTAATTGCGATGACGAACAATGTAATTCACGATGCCGGAATTAGGTGGAAAAACCGCATTAGGTTTGAATTGGAACTTAGTGGACAATGGCAACTCTACACGTGTTTTTTGTATATCCGTTTTATCACACATTTCGTTTGGTAATTTTATTTACTTTTCTATAGCCCTCAGTGAAGCAACTAGCCGAGAGGTTGCGTTGAATATCCTAAAGTATCTTTGAAAGTACAAATAAAACTTAAAAAAATGGTAAGTGTTCAATTAAGATACATATGAAACTAAGCTCAATCACTATAACTTTTTTATTATTTCAGACCGAAGAAGTTAGCCCAAAAGCATTCCCGCTTGCAGATGCGCAGCTCACGTCGAAAATCATGAATTTGTTGCAGCAAGCGCTTAACTATAATCAACTTCGCAAAGGAGCTAATGAAGCCACGAAGACTCTTAATCGTGGTCTTTCAGATATTATTGTGATGGCTGCTGATACTGAACCCATCGAGATTCTTTTGCATTTGCCACTTCTTTGTGAAGATAAAAACGTGCCGTATGTGTTTGTACGATCCAAGCAGGCGCTCGGACGTGCATGTGGTGTATCACGGCCAATTGTCGCGTGCTCTGTCACCACAAATGATGGTTCGCAACTGAAATCACAGATCCAATCAATTCAACATGAAATTGAAAGACTACTAGTTTAATGTGATAATATATGTATTCAACATACAATGTACAAATAAAGAATATTTTATAAAATAAAATAATTTAAAAACAGACCAAAATGCATTTGTTACCTCAGTGTCAGGATTGTCTGGTTCTTCAGACTACAATTTAACATTTATGTTCAAAATTTGCCTTTTGGTTATCAAAACAAAATGTCTGAAGATATGTTTACTTAAAAATGAAGATATGTGAATAAATCTCACGATCTTTTACAAAGATTTAAATGAATTAACCATTATGCCACTTTTTCATAAACTCTAATTTAAAAAGTTGCATTTCAGTATGCATTTTTTATAAACAAAAAAATCTCAACATATGTATTTCGAATTTCTCTGTGAAAACTCGAGGACATCTTTTTGTATTCAGTCAACTTATCATAAACTCCTCAATCTAAAATCTCGCTTTTCAGTATGGAGTTTTTAAAAAACAAAAAATTTGAACTTATATATTCGAATTTCTCTATAAAAACTCGAGGACAGTTTTTTGTTTTCAGTCAGGTTTTTATTGTTGTGTGTTCAGTCAGAGTTTATTATTAATGGAAAATCATTCTCACTTCTACTGATTTTTTTTTGCATCAAGGCATCCCTATTTGTGAGCTTGTATTTTTTCCACTAGAGGTCGCTATGTATTGTCATTATATTTTTCTTTTTTAGCTCTTGTTCGCCAAAAAAAGGCGACGTCGAAGCCGTGTCAGCACGTTATTTTTACGCTAATTCGTATTGATATTTTTCAAAATCTTATCAAAAGTGTAAAAAAATATATTCCAAAATGTCACAATTCGATTTAACAAGGATTAACTGCCAATTTTTGGACAGACATCTTACTTTCCCACTGCTGGAATTCTTGTGCGGAAAGGAGGTTAGAAATGCTTAGCTTCATAGTATGTTTCTTCTAAATAATACAAATTTCTCTATTACAGATATACAATCAACAAGAACTTTTGGAATATATTCTAGACACAGTTAATAAAACTAATATGATTGATTACACAATGGATACACGCAAACGTTTGAATCTTAGCCAAGAGATGCCGGAGGAACTGGTGCAGCGTAAAGCTGAGGTGCTTGCTACTTTAAAGCAATTGCAAAATGAAGTTGCACCAATCATGAAAGCCACCGACATTTTGAAAAATGGTGAGAGCATGAAGGATTCTAAAACTTTCGTCAATGCTCTGCAGAAGGATTACAACTTTAAGGTGGAACATTTAGAGAGTGCTTACAAGTTGGCGAAATATTTGTATGAGTGCGGTAACTACCAAGAGTCTACGTCTTACTTGTACTTCTGCCTGATTGTTATGTCGCCAAATGATAAGGTAAGTATTGTTATAAAACGGTAAAAAAAACATGTATTCACCAATTTATTTTTTAGAACTACTTAAATGTTTTATGGGGAAAGTTGGCTGCTGAAATTTTGACTCTGAATTGGAACACAGCTTTGGAAGATCTGACACGTCTGCGTGACTACATCGACAATGCCAATTTCTCAACAATTCAAGCGCTTCAACAACGTACATGGTTGATACATTGGTCGGTGCTGGTATTTTTCAATCACCCTAAAGGACGCGATCTTATCATAGATATGTTCTTATACAAACCACTTTACCTTAACGCCATACAAACAATGTGCCCACATATAATGCGCTACTTGGCCACCGCCGTCATTATCAATCGCACTCGTCGTAATGCCCTCAAGGACCTCATTAAGGTGATCCAACAAGAATCGTATACATACCGTGACCCCATAACGGAGTTTTTGGAATGTCTCTATGTCAATTTCGATTTTGAGGGTGCACGTTTGAAACTTCACGAATGTCAAACAGTGATTTTGAACGACTTTTTCATAGTGGCCTGTTTGAATGAATTCGTTGAGGATGCACGTCTTATGATTTTTGAAACTTTCTGCCGTATACATCAATGCATCACTATTAGCATGCTCGCCGATAAATTAAACATGAAACCCAACGAGGCTGAATGTTGGATTGTGAATTTAATACGCAATGCTCGTTTAAATGCAAAAATCGATTCTAAATTGGGGCATGTGGTTATGGGCACTCAACCATTGAGTCCGTATCAGCAACTTGTTGAAAAGATTGACTCCTTGTCGATGCGCTCGGAACATTTGGCTGGTCTAATCGAACGTAAGAGTAAGCAAAAGAATCCTGAATCTATCGACTCGTGGAAGTATTATTAAGTCGAGTGCAAAATAAAATAATTCTGTAATTAGTAGCACGATCAAACAGTGAAGTTCGATTTACTCACGAGTGATTTGGTGAAGAAGGGAAGGTCATATTTATTACATTATAAGCAATGATTAATAAAGAATTTTATATATTCCATGTAAAGAACAAAAATGCTAGAATAAAACAACAACAATTATTCGGGCTGCAACTGGAAGTTTATACTTTATTTCTCAAAATCTTTAAAAATTTACAAATACTACAAGTAGAAAAACAAATGCGGGAATTTTCTTATACGCTAACATACTCTCAACACATTCGCAATAATTTCATTACTTAAATTTTAGCAAATTACTAAAACTAAAACCATTGTTAAATTTTTTTTTTTGTTACAAACATGCGCACGATTTGTGCCATAGGTACCAAGAAGTCTTAAAAGCAACAAATAATATTGACATGTGTGTTTTATTAGTGAATAAGTCAAATATCTTACAGCTAGGAATTCAATTGCACTACATTTTCATTAATGTATGTATATACGTATAAAAGCGCATCATTTGGAATATATAAATAATAGAGTTGATTCAACATACTAAACCAATACTAATTAAATGGTAATAACAAATTGATTTTTAAATCAGCGAAACATTATTTTCTTGCACGTTTTTAATGTTAATGTCAAACTCTTCCTCGGCATCAAACATCAACGGATCTAACAAGTCCCTACGTGCGTCGTCTTCCTCATGTCATACAACGAATTGCTATCTTTTCTTGCCCTTAGGCTTCTTAACCACCATCCAATTACGCGTTGGCAGACTCTGTAAATATTTTATCCAGCGTCGGACTAGTAGAAGCCACACAATACCATATATTATGCATATTATGGATTCAATATAATATCCATCGAACACGATTTGACATTCGCCGCCTGCAGCCTCACATTCCTGTAATTTTTAAATTATTGTATTGTAGAAAACTAAATAGCTTAACATATCTAGTTTTGACTCACCGCTTTTTGCTTATTTGTTAAACAACTGTTTTGTGCTGCCACTTCGGGGTTCACATGAGTACACTCTTTCCAGGTCAACACATCCACTAGCCACAAGACAACTGTGTTTGGCCAATTTCCTCCCAGATTTGAAAGTGTGTTCAAGAAGGTCATGTATGTACCACCGACAGCAGGATCGGATATTTTTGCAAAGAATGCCATCACAGCAACGAACATGCAGTAGAGGAATACCTGGTACAATGCATAGTTAACTATTAGCAGTACATAGTAGTAGATGGGCACATGACCATCTTGAATCATATATGGCGTGCAATACGTTATGACTGCAGCTGCGGCGCTAAATACAATACGATATGGTATAGCCTTAACGTATACTTCCATTGGACGCGGTCCGTGTGTATAACGGCTGACAACTAGTGGCAACACGATTTGTAATGGTATTATGGGTACAACGAGCAAAGCCAATTTTTCTTTCGGCACACCAGCGTCGATTAATTTCAACGAAGTTACTGCATCACTTGCCGCAAATGTGACTTTAACAGTTAACAAAATTACAGCTAAAATTTGTATTGGGCGCATGCGTACCATATCGAAGAGAACTTTGTAGCTCTCACGCAGATTTAACTCATGTTCATCAGTGTAACGTGCAGCTGTGTGTGCATCTTGTACATCATTTTCTTTTTTGAAAATAGCAACCAACGTGGTAACCACCATAAAACATACTCCCCAAAACCATAAAAATTCCGGCAAGGTCACGAGTCCTTTGTCTAGCTGTTCGGTGCGTAGATAACTGTTACAAAAATCTTTTGATTCCAGCGCTATAAAAACCACATAACCGAGAAAGTAACCTGCGGTTTGACCTACACTATTGCATGTAGACGCATAACCGACATTACACCGTTTTAACATGGTGAGCGCCCAACCGTCTACCGCAATATCCTGTGTAGCAGCCAGAAAATTCAATAAAAAGAATAACATTGTTAAGAATGGTACATTTGGCTCAGTGCCGTTACCACCTAACCATCGGTCGACCTGCCATGATAAGAACAGCATGAATATACCTATGAGGTATTGAGATGGAACCAGCCAGGATTTTCGTCTACCAAATCTTCGTATATAAACAGAGTCAACGATCGGCGCCCATAAGAGTTTCATACTGAAGGGCCAATATGCGAAGGAGAATTCAGCTTGTTGCTTATAACTTGCACCACGATTTTGCAATAGCATGGGTACAGCGGCGATCAGACCCAATGGTATGCCTTGCATGACATACAGGAAGAAAAGTATTGCGATATTACCACGATCGCCGCGTATGTCGGTTTTCTCATGTACTTCATCGCTAGCATTTAAAGGAGAATCTGATGGCGGAGACTCGATAAGCAAGTGTTGCTTGTCTGTGTCGTCTGCTGCTGTTCCATTCGATTCCTGACGACGTCGCATTTTTTCCTAAATATTAGAAAGATTTTTTCAAAATTCTCATCTAAAAGCTGATCTGTCATATTAAACTACCTTAAGAATTTTTTAAGTTTGGTTACAGCGACACGTCAGTAGCTTTTAGCCTTTTTCATTTACCCACTCTACAATGCATAGATTATTGTGTTGGTGGATTTGTATTGCGTGTCAGAATTGATTTAATCTACAGTCACGGAGAATTCACAGATATAGATTGAAATTATGTCCAAATAAAATTAAAACACATAAATTTTGGACTTTTATAAATTCATAAAACTATTTTGTGTAGAAATCCACTAGAATTTAAATTTTTTAATACAAGAAATCACTCAAAACCGGAGCGACAACAAAAATCTACCTTTTCTGCACAATTTACCAACAAATCATATTGACATTTTTGTTTTCGTACTTCCAAATGATTGCCAACATCGTGAGGTTACTGAGTGTCGTACCGGTTACTCCTCAATAGCGCTTTTGATAATATTGTCTAAATAATCCCATATTAATTTTAAATTTTAATATAAATGTAAATTAAGAGCTTACATACAAATAATGTTGGTTAATAAACATTCTTTTAGAAATATTTACATTAACATGAAGAAAGATTCTTTTGATTAATATATGATTCTATATAAAATGACTTATATCAATACTCAATTACAATACAGTAATTTGATTTTTAGCTATGTTCATAATGAAAACTTTCGATAGCAAATATTCGAAAAACTGTATTGAAAATTTCCAAACTCAAGATTTTCCTGCGATTTATAGATTATAGGTACATTTTTGTAATAATATAGGTTTTTTGACACAATAAAAAGTTCTATGTTGAAGGATATTTAATAAAAAAAATGTATGGGTATTGGGGTACATTTTAAGCAATACGTTCATATGTATGTATATGTGCGCTGAAGCTAAAGCTTTTAGCAGGTTAAAATATAAAAAAAAAATTATTTTGAACAGTAAATTAAGTTCGAGTACGCATCTTTCGCATTTATTGTAAATAATAACTCGGATATATGTAAATCTAATGCGACAGGCCACGAATAGGCCAATCGGCAACTCTAGTTGTAATCTAATATGAGATTACAAGCAGCTGTTTGGGTCCGCAGTGTTACCTCTCTGTACATTTGGATTTGAAATTAGTACAAAAAAGTATTAAAAAAAGTATCACGAATTTCTTTTTTCTTTAATATACATTCTCGATTAGTAAAAAAGAGGAGAAATTTAAAAACTTTTCCAAACAAAATAATAAAATTTACTCTTTCGATACTTTGACCGATCCAGGGGAAAGATGACTGTAGGAAGTTTGTTGTCACTTTTCGTTATAAACGATGTAAAAAGTCAGTGCGTATTTCAAACTGGCAATGCTGGTTGGCAGCTGTGCTGCGGTCAGTTTGTTAATGATTTGTTTGCATATTTAGTATCAAAATATTATAGTAATGCCGTGATAAAATTGTATTTGTTTTTGAAATTAATCACTTAATTACCATGGTGCTGTTTATAATCGCGTCCAGAACACTAATGTTGAAACTACGAAATTACTGTATTAACAGTGCCGCATAATATATGCATTCATACACATGCACCTATACGTAACTACAAAAGACTACAAAGGGAAAGGGTCTGTGCAAAATACTCGTGATCAATGAGGGATTAAACCGGTATACAAGGGGAGTTGCATGTATATATTCTTGTAATGTAAGTTGAAAAAAAAACTGCAAGGTCGTTACATATTAATTTAATGCACTTTAGATTTAATATGCTGATAGTAAACGCTCGTTGCACGCAAAATGGTCCCAAATCAACATGAGCGACATTTGTTAATACCAGAAAGGAACAAACAAAATCGTAATGGCAATAATACCCATTCATCTTCAGAATCTGACTCTGCGGAATTTCTAATAAATGGTAGAAATTGCGTAGAAGAGGGCTATTCTGAAGAGTATCGACACACATCGCATCGATATTTAGAAGACTACGAATCATCCACCTGTCCATTTAAGATGTCCCGGTTGCGTTGGCGAAACCGTTTGGTAAAACGTGTATTGTTCTGCATAGTGATTGTGCCATTCCTGCTGGTGACCTTCTATATGCCAGAGTTAATGACTAATATGCAAACGAGGCAGGGTGAGTACAATAAATGTAAAACAAATTACTACTGCAGAAAAAATCTCAACCATCAGGATGAGAAATAAAAGTAAAAAAAAAGCAGTGTGGCTGCGTGTATATTTAATTTCATGTCACAATATATATGCGCTTAAGGTAGTTTTGTATCAAGTCAAAATCTCAGCTCGTTGAATTCATAAAATGTGAACCGTACCGAACTGTACCGAATTCGAATGTTTTCGTGTCCTCAGAATATGGACGAGAAACAAAGACTTATTTTCTATTAGTCAATATTACCCGAGAAGCCCTGAGCTCTATTATCCACATACGTTATTCCTTGAGATTGGTTATTTAATGCAGAAAATAAAGTAATAAAGACAAACTTTGCTTTGAAATTACATTTACATTATCTTGTCTAGTCTAGTCTATTTGAAACGCTAAATTATAAGTTCACATACATGTTCAAGACAATATCGAATAAACATACATTTTTTAGCTGCATTACTCGATTGGGGCTACAACACATCTAGAAACATTGCTGATTATGTGCTGCCTGAAAATAACACAGTGGTTTTAGAGCCCAAACACGTTTGCGATAACAAGATATTTCTACTCGTTGTTGTTTGTTCCAGTATGCAAAACTTTGCGATGAGGTTTGTAGAAACCAAAACCAAAACAACAACAGTACTAATTAAGATATGTACATGCATTCCTTTCAGACAAATCATTCGTGAAACCTGGGGTAACACATCAAACTTCAACTATGGTATGTTCAAAAAATTGCATTATCGTTTCGAAGGTCAATATCTGAGTCCAACAGTGGAACGTTTGAAATATTATAGCGAATATCTAAATATACCAAACGATGTAAGTAAATCCTCATTAAAACTAGGAGTCTTATAAAACTATCTTTCAAATTATAGGATGACGTAACAACTGCTCCCGCTATTATACCCGTTAAAGTTTACTTCCTACTTGGTCGTAATCGGCCCGATGCCTATGAATACAATGAAACAACGGCGCTTATACGCACAGAGTCAGAGCAATATGGTGATATTATACAAGAGAATTTTATTGATACATACAACAATTTGACGCTAAAATCAGTGCTGGCACTAAAGTGGATGAATCAACGCTGTTCACAGCGTTCCGCGTTCTTTATGAAAGCGGATGATGATACTTTCTTGAATATGCCAAATCTATTGCATTATCTACTAGGCGGCACAATACCGCTCTACAATGACACTATGGATTTGTATGATACACATACATATCGTGTGTTGTCGCCACGTAATCGCTTCAATAGTACAAGAAATTATTTGGGTGGACACTTGTTTTGTTCATCGCGTCCAGTTTCAGTGATCAGCAATAAATGGTATATGCCATACTATATGTTTCCGGGTGATAAATATCCAAAATATTTAAGTGGATCTGCTTATGTGATGTCTGCCGATGTGGTATCACGTTTATACGCGGCAGCTTTGAATACCACATTCATACATATCGAAGATGTTTATCTAACCGGCATGTGTGCTGAAAAGATACATTTACCACGTCGGCATAATGCCCTATTTAGTTATACGCGTGCAAAGGACTGGTGCAGCTTTCGTGGCAGCATTACACAACATGAAGTCAAAGATGAAAGTATGTTGGATGCCTATTTATTTGTGAGCAATACGAGTTTGTATTGTGCACCACCTGCCAAGTATATGAATAAGCACTTGCGTAAGCAAATCGGCTGTGTATGAATGCGTAAATGAGGAGACTGTCATTGTGAAGGATATAATTGTATTATGTGTACACATATAAATGTTTTTTTTTGTTTTTGTTTTTTAATATTGTCAGATAGTTTTAAACTACAACAACAATAACGGTAGTTTTATATTCATTTATTTTTATTTCATGTACACATATTTGATGTTAACATATTTTTAGTGCTATGGCTCCACCGTTAGAACAGTTAGAAAGATACGTATGCTTCGCATTATTTTAATTCAAGTATATTTTTTTAGTTTTAATTTCGTTAGTTATTAAGTATAAAGCCTACACATACATGTATTTTATCATTATGTTTTAAATGTTAAAAAATTTGACAACTGGAAACCGAGCCAGCCCAATTAGAACTTTTAATTTATGAATCATGTTCAATTATTTGTAAAAAGATAAGTAACATAAGTAAAAATTACTCATGCATGTTATTAAGAACAAAATAAAACAAATTTTACATATAAATGCAGCACACATTTATACATACATATATATATATATATATAAATATGTTGTATAAACTAATCTTATTTGCGTTATATTTTTGATTGAAATGTGCATATTTCTTATTCATTGTTGCTAAATTTAATCTCTCGAAAATTGTATTATATATAGAGTATCAAATAGTAATATTTATTGACAGTCACTCTTATGAAAAATAAAAAATGCTCTATAGATAAGAAAATATTTTCGGCAAGTAGCATCTATGATACATAAATTACATGCTGATAATAATTTTCCGCAGAAAAAAAACTCACTTAAAATTCTTACATAAAATTTAATACCAAGAAAGAATTCCTAACAGAATGGTTTTCATTATTTTTACTTTGCTTCTCTAAGTTTTGAGTGATTAAGTGATTGATATACTGGCATACATCTCGTTAATGAAATGAATGAAATTAAAACGAACTTCACTGATGTTTTTCAATTATAGAGTAGACGGAAAATGTTTTTTAGTTAAAAAAAAAAAATAAAATAAAATACTAAAGCTACACTATGAAATCTTTAAAAAATACTATTCAAAAAGTACATTAACTAAGTAGTGTAGAAAATTTATTACTTTTCTGTCAACTAGGTAATTGAGATTACTGGATACTCTAAAAATGTACTTAAAAAAATTAAATAAAATGCATGCGAATAACATAGATGTATGTATATTGAAATATACGATATTGGCCATAATTAAAATTAAGATATTATTTGGCTAATTGTAAATGTTTTTAATAGTATGTGCATATCATCTATTTTTGCATGTAGAATATTTTTTTTATTTAGTTAAACTTACCTGCATGTTTAACAAATTTATACGGAATATTTATTAGATACCAATTTATTATGCACATTTGTATATTATTATTGTATTTTGTTGTGGTCAATATTGTGCTTTTTGGCGCACATATCAATATACGCACATATTAAATTACATTAATTAAATTGCAACTTGATTTTATTTGACTCTTAACTTTATCGATTTCTTTACTATCGAAATTTAGATGCTACCGCAATTAATTATGTACATATCAACAATTGCAATTGTTATTTTATGAAAGCACAACACCACGTTTATGTCTTTTATAACTATTTAAATGTTTTTTTTTTATATATCTACAAAAGCATGCACCTTTTAATTAATAAATTCTATTGTATATACTATATAAATATTTTAAATCGCGACAAGCCATACACTCATATGACAATAAAAATTTTAAACATTTTTGTAAGTTAAAAAGTACTTTTTTCGGTAGAAAATAACAATTTTTTTGTTCGTTCGTAAGTTATACTCACATCAGGGCAGCTAAAAAAAATTACATTGGTCAGGGAAAATTGAGCGCTGTTGATGCCATTTAATGTCGAGGTTAAGTATTTAATTAAGATTTATTTACCACATTTAAAAAATCAAGGCATGTGAATTGATTTGCATACAAATTATTTAACGAAACTGCAAATGGATGAGTGCCAATAAATCTTCTTAGCTTTTCTATTAGCATATTAATTAAAAAAAAAAAAAAAAAACTGTAATTTCAAATATTTATCGTTTGTGTTTAAATTTAATAAAAATAAATGTAAAACTGTAGCTCAGCGAAAGGTTTGATAAAAAGACATTGAAAAACTACAAAATCGTTTCTTTTCTTTATCGAGGTTTCATTAAAATTTCATAAACTTTCTCATTAAAAAAAAATAACCATGTTTGTTTTTCTATTTGTAAAGCTTATTTAATGTTATTAATCTAAAGAAAAGTATATGAGTGTACAGCAAGAGCAGCAAATGCGTTCACTTTACTTTTAAATTGTTTCCGTTAATGATACTTTTACTTCCTATTGATAATAATATCAATATAAATGAACTCCTTTAGGATGTCTTCACCGAAGTTGGCACTTTCGGCAACCCGAACTCATCAGTTTCAATTGTACTCTGTAATTTAATTGTGCAAGTGAATCAAATGTTGTCGGTAAATAAATTACAGCATTTCCACATACCTTGTTGCCAGGTACAATACTATCTGCACCCGGTTCCTTATCAGGTGCCGATGGTGCTTTTACCATATCATCCAAGTAACTGGTATCATCGTCGAGTGCGATTTCATCACCTAAAGCATCCAATTCGGCTTGCAGTTCGTCATCATCAACTTCCGGCATGCCATATGTACGTCCAAGCGCTTCTTGCACTTCATCCGCTTGCTCCAGCATATCGGCCATATCGTCTTGGATATCCTGTATATAAATTATTACTTATTGTATTATATATATGAATTATGAGTATACTATATATATTTACCTCAATTTGATCGATGTTGACTTTCTTGAATTCCTTCTGCATTTGTTTTACGCCATCTTTCATTGCCGCCACAGTGGCTTGTGTATCTTTGAGCGATTGCGCAGCATAATTAGCCTGCTCCATATTGAAAGATTGGTTACGCAGTGCTTCTACTTGCTGTTCGTAACTGCCATTAAGAAGATGTTTTGTTGAAATCGCTTTTATTGCGCTTTGTTATACTTACGCTTTTTTCTGTTTCAACACACGCATAGCTCGCTGCTTTACCGAGTTTTTAGCAGGACCTTCGCGCATTTTCGACATTTGTTCCCGATATTTTCGCAATTCATTATCCAGCTTTGTTACCTTCTCCTCGATGGAACTTGCACGACTATCAACCTGCGTTGGAATTTCGGTATAGTAAAATTCTTTGTTTCATGGCAAACAAACAATATTTCTTATCTTATAAAGGCACATACATATATATGATATGTATGCATATAGTATAATCAAAGGAAACTTACACCTGCAATGCAGTCGTTCAGATTCGGTGGCGGCTCTTTAGCTTTACCTTTACCAAATAGACGATTCATTTTTGTAGTTGTTTTTTTCCGAATTCCCTTTTGTTGAAAAACTTAAATTGTAGATATTATTTAGCGTTTTAGAAAATAATAGTTTTGCTATAAATTCGACAGCTTATGACTAATCTCAGAAATTTGTTATAAATTCTGACAGTTTAACTACAGTGGCTCTCAGAGTTTTGATGTTTATAAATAAAGGCAAATAGTGCTGCCAGCTGAAAAAGTCTGAGTATCAAAATGGTTTACTAATTTAATAAATTTTTTTTGAATTGATTTAATAGAAATTTGTTTGGATATGGTGTTATTTTAGTAACTCTCTGGTAGTTGGTGTTTTATTATTAAATTTGGGTAAATTTGGACTGAACTGCAACGAGCCTCATTCCAAACTGCCATTTTGCCATAACCGGAAGCGAAATTTCTGGCGCAACGAGAAGTGACAAATCTATTGCGATATTTTATAAATATTTGCAAAATAAGTTTTATTTGCGTATTTGTGAATCTAAAATGGAAGTACTAATAAATGTGAGTGTGAAAAGTTTTAGCGCCTTCTTTCAAGTACAAAGCATAGATAACCGAGAACGCTTACCGAATATAATATTGTAGGCTGAGTATCCCTTTAATTGAAATACTTTCTTACAATTCGTACTTAATTTGCACAAGCATGCATATATATAACATCTATACGAAATCTGAAATAATGGACAATTTATGTTTCATGATAATAAATTATGTTGAAAAATTGCAAGAATTTAAAAGAGCACGTAGCATTTACATATGTATGCGTGTAGATGCAGCACATATGTATGTACATGCTACGAGTTGCTGCTGCTGCATCCTTCATTTCAACTGCTTCAACGCAGCGCTCAATTGGGTAATGCAGATTATCACAAATTAATTTAAATGAAGTCTCTTTAGTAGCGTACACTGATGTATATACGTACAAACATACGCATAATTATAAAAAACGAAATACGGAGGATATTCATATTTCTGCATTAAGATAGTAATCGGAATGTTTTAAATGAAGACAATTTATTTTCTCTGTGTATGTGATTTTATTGATAAAAATTATAAATAAACGAAATAACAAAAATTATGTAGTGATTAAATAGATTTAGTGGCTTAATTTTCTTAATGTTAATGCTTTTAAATTTATTACACTCATCTTATGGAAACTAATTTGAAATTTATATTATATTTTGTCCATTTAAATGCACACACATATGTGCATACATACGTGTACATACATATGTATATGTAAATTTATTTCAATACATCGGAATTCCCATTAAATTTCCAGTTGGCCGCTAAAAATACGCACACATGCTTTAAGTTTTTGTGCACTTTTTCATTTCCTACAACATGGAAATGGATCACATCAAATTATAAGTTAAACGTTGAGGGCGTTTGTACAAACACTTTGATCTGTCAAGATGTGCTTTTGACGAATGGCTTTGGAGCGCATTCCAGCCTCCAACTGGAGCTGTACAAATAAGATTTGCATGCATAAAATTATATGTACATGCACACATACTATCATATGTAGAAAGAATAAAGTGAAAAGAAAAAATGCAGCGAAGTAAAATAAAAAAAATTTATAGTAAAAAAATGAAACACATGTTTCCATAATTTCGGTTTATGATATTTACCGAAAAATTTACAAGAAATATTCAAAAAAAAATTTTCATTTCTTATGTTGCTTTTATAAAAATCACCACTCGATCGATAACTTATTTCAATATTATTTAATGGTGGTTAGCTATTTGATTTTCTTGCTAATCATTTGTAGAAAAGTGTCACTAATAATCAACGGACCAAATTTAATATATGTAAGTAGGTATGTAGATTCGAATCCCCGCGCGACCAACATTCAAAAGTTATAGAAAATTAATTTAAATAATAAATTAAAATACATTTTCTAATTGCGGTCACCCCTCAGCAGGGAATGTCCCCTCTGAGTGTTTTTCGGACATTAAATAAAGGTTCCTCGTAAGAAAACCATCAGCCGTTAGGAGGCGGCTTAGTATAAACTGTTGGAAGAGGAGCTCGGCCGAAAATCGCTGCAGCGGTTACAAAGCGCCAATTATATATAAGTAGGTACGTTATTTGTATAAAATTGTTTTTTGTTTTGTTTCAAAGTCCATAACTATTTTAATTTTTTCTTTGTTATTGTATTTTTTTTTTTCTTTTGTAAACTGTTTAAAGGTCCGTCCAGTGATAGCTGACGATATCATATATCGCTTTCATATGCATTAATAGCTTGAATAATCCTGTCTTTCAATAGACAACGTATTCTTCACAAGATTGTAATGCCGTTAATTGATTGTTGATTATAAAGGGTTTTCCAATAAGAGCTGGTATTATGAATAGACTATTTTTCCGCTAGATGTCACCTATGAAGCTATAATGAAAATGGAACGATACACGCTTCTACAAATTATGAAAATTCACTATAAAAATGGTGAAAACCTGACAGAGACGGATCGTAAAACTAAAATATCTTGTCGGACCGCAATACAGAAACTGGAGGGAGATACGGAGCTGTTGGGTTAAGTTAATGATATGAAGGATAAAATACGTGCACGTCGCTCAAGAACAACTGGCAATATTTTGCTGTAGCCCAAAGTGTTGAAGATACCCCAACCCGGAATTTCACCGAATAATCATCCTGACTGATGAAGTCCATTTTCACCTCGATGGCTAAGTCAATAAGCAAAACTGTCGCATTCGGGGCTTAGAATACCCAAGATTTATTGTTGTTGGATGGTAATTACATGGAAAACGTTTACTTTCAACAAAACGGTCCTACGTGCCATACAAGTAACGAAACCATCGATCTGTTGAGGAAAAAATTTTCGGACCGTCTTATCTCTCGAAGAGGTGATTGCGATTGACCACTGAGATCTTGTGATTTAACACTTTGAGACTTTTTCCTTTGCGGCCACGGGAAAGATAAGATTTATGCTAACAGGCCAACGTCGATTTAAGACCTCAAAGATGTAATTCGTGAAAATTTCATAAAAACGATACGATTCCAATAAGATGTGTAATTTTGATATTCAAAGAAAAATAAAATTTTTCTAGATAAATACTCGGATGTTTGTTTGAATGTACGGAGGAAGATATGCCATTAATAATGGAAGGTAATATCACCCAAACGACCGTCACGGCTGCACTTACAGAAAGCCGTGACGGTCGCTATCAAGTTCTATATTTTGAAGTTCCCTCCTCCTTGACCTCTTGAAGGTCGATTGCGTCAAAAGTCAGACCATAAGTAACGCAAAGCTACTGAGACTCCGCATACGACCGCAATGCCGCAAAACTCCAGAGCTGGAATAAAAAATTCAAAGCACTAGCCTGCAGCACTGGTTTAAAGGCAAAGAAACCTTGCTGACAAGCTACAAAGCAATTGGCCGGCCGGTTGATAACCGATCTGGGCACCAGGGACAAATGAGACGAGGTTGAAGAAGCTACAGGCTTGCCAGAACACTGCCCTTAGGACCGCAACAGGAAACCTACTGATGTCGCCTGAGCATCACTTGCCCAGCAAAGCACCTATGCTGCGAGTTAAGGAGCATAACACTTTGCTGTGCAAGCAATTTCAGTTGAGATGCTAGCGCAGGAAACACTCCAACAGCCATCTTATGTAGGCTGAACCTCCACCCAGGTACATCAAAAAGAGAGCATTAGACTTAAATAACACTATCCAGCAATACGTTCGAAATCCGCTGGTCAGCACGACGTACAGACAGGCATGAATCAGAATTCACTTACACTTTCAAATACTTCTTTCCTGTAAATGGCGTACTCGGAGATAACTCACCACCCAAAGCAGACGAAGACTTCGAGCTGCTTCGAGAGACCTGCGTAATACTGGCGCAACTTATGTCTTGATTGTACCAGCATAAACTTCTACTTATTTAGACCCGACACCAACATACCCAACGTACACGTATGTCTTACATGTAATGAGTCACCGCACGACAGTAAACATCTCTTTACATGCCCCCTAAAATCGACGCAACTAACCCCATTCTTCTGGTCTGAACTCGTCGAAAAAACTCGTTTCCGGGACTGGTAACTTGGACTAACTAACCTGTCCGACGTATTAAATCAACCAAAAACAGTTTTAAGTAAGTCATCCAATGCCCTTCTAAGGTTAGATTTCAATTTCAATAAGGTGAGGACATCACTAGACGTGGAACGTGGAAGGCATTTTGCAAGGGAGAAGGACATCATCTCTATCCACAAAATGAACTGCGGTATAAGGGCGGGACTATTAGCCGAATATCTCACAGTCTCCCTATATTTTCGTTCACCAAATTCTACTAATATACCTCGGGTGGCCGCGGTAGCCGAATGGTTTGCGTTTCGTGGGTTCAAGTACTGGTACGACCAATATCCAAAAGTTATAGAACACTAATTTAAATAAAATATAATTTAAATTTTGTAACTGCGGTCACCTCTCGGCAGGGAATGTCAACCCCTCCGACATGAAAACCCAAAGATCCTCATAAAAAACCAACCAAACCCGTTCCGAGGTGGCTTCTTATAAACTGTAGGTTCCTCCATTTGTTGGAATAGCATCAAGACGCAAAAATCACAAATTGGCGGAGGAGCTCTGGCGAAAATCGTCACGGTGGTTACAAAGTGCAACAACGGAATAAAGAAATCAACCACATACTCGGATAGCCAGGCGGCTTTGATGGTCATATCGACGGCAACAATAAGTTCAAGCGATGTCAAAAAAGGAATATTTTCGGTAAAGAAAATGCTGATAACCTGGCCATGTCAGAAGTATCTCTCGATGAATCGGAAGTCGGATAAATACCATGTCTGCAAGGAACGATCAGAAGGGATTTCACCAAAAAATAGCAAAAAACAGATGGAAATAAATGTAGGCTCAGAAATGAGAGAGACTTAACGCCACAATAACGGGACACTGGCTCTTCGGAGACCATGCAGCCAAAATGGGTCTGTCTTATAACAGTCGTCGTTGCAGCTTCAAACAGGAACGGAATATAGAAACAACCATATTCTCTGCGAGTGCCCAGCTCTTTCACAAATATGTCATAGAACACTCGGAATCCATCAAGTTCAACGGATATAACTAGTTTTATTGAGAACTAAATGATTAAAATATAACGAT